CAAACAACAAAGACCCAACCCCAACCCACAAACAACAAGGATCCGACCCCAACCCTCAAACAACAACAAATAGAAGGACCCGACCCGAACCCACAAACAACAAGGACCAGAACCCAACCCACAAACAACAAGGACCCGACCCGAACCCACGAACAACAAGGACCTGACCCCAACCCACAAACAAGAAGGACTCGACCGCAACCCACAAACAACAACAAATATAAGGACTCAGGACCCGACTCGAACTCTCAAACAACAACAAATGGAAGGTCCCGACTCGAAGCCCCAAAACAACAACAAATGGAAGGACCCGACCCGAACCCCCAAACAACAACAAATAGAAGGACCCCACCCGAACCCCCAAACAACAACAAATAGAAGGCCCCGAACCGAACCCACATACAACAAGGACCCGACACGAACCCACAAACAACAACAAATAGAAGGATCCGACCCGAAACCACAAACAACAACAAATAGAAGGACCCGACCCCACAAACAACAACAAATAGAAGGACCCCACCCGAACCCACAAACAACAACAAATAGAGGGACCCGACCCGAACCCACACACAACAACAAATAGAAGGACCAGACCCGAACCCACAAACAAAAAGGACCCGACCCGTACCCACAAACAACAAGGACCCGACCCGTACCCACAAACAACAAGGACCCGACACGAACCCACAAACAACAACAAATAGAAGGATCCGACCCGACCCCACAAACAACAACAAATAGAAGGACAGGACCCGAACCCACAAACAACAAGGACCCGACCCGAACCCATAAACAACATGGACCTGACCCCAACCCACAAACAACAACAACAAGGACCCGACCCGAACCCAAAAACAACAAGGACCTGACCCCAACCCACAAACAAGAAGGACTCGACCCCAACCCACAAACAACAACAAATATAAGGACTCGACCCGAACCCACAAACAACAACAACAAGGACCCGACCCCAGCCCAAAAACAACAAGGACCTGCCCCCACCCCACAAACAAGAAGGACCCGACCCCAACCCGCAAACAACAAGGACCCGACCCCAAACCACAAAAAACAAGGACCCGACCCCAACCCACAAACAACAAGGACCCGACCCCAGACCACAAACAACAAGGACCCGATCCCAACCCACAAACAACAAGGACCCAACCCCAACCCACAAACAACAAAAAATAGAAGGACTATCGACAAACTTTCAATAATTTTTCAAAACATTTTATTGATATATTTATGTACACGTGTTTGCATCAGGGAATATAACATGTGATTCAAAAAGTCTAACCACGATTTTGATTTTTAACCAACGTCATACTAGAAAACTATATGTATACAAACAAGGAACATATTCTATATACGCATTAGCAATATCTGCACCACGTTTCTAAAACGTGCCTGCACAAAAAAGTGTTCTAAAAACAGTTTAGCGAATTTCAATTTTGTTTTCATCCCATGATATATGACGATTATACAAAGTCGACCAGTAAAATATACTACATATAATAAGAATACATAATTCCCACAGCTTCATTCAGAAATTGCTTGAACAATTTATGCCGCAAAAAAAAAATTGAAAGTAATTAAAACAATTATTTGTTTTCATTGACAACTTAATTGCTACGGTTATAAAAACCTCAAGCTAAAATATATTATTTAAAAAAATTAATAAGGATAATTAATCTGAAATCATTGCCAATAAAATCCAACTTAACGCTCTAGGTTTAGTCTTTTATTTGAAGAAATAACTTTCCTTCATTATTGCAAGAGTTCTAATAAAACATATACATAAAAAATACTGGACTATCTGTCCAAGGTTATCAGTCTCCAGGATAGTTAACATTGTAGACTTCCCTCATATAGAACAATAGGATATATTACTAGTAACCATGGGTTCACTTCACGTTATGGTTAAAACTCATTTAAGAATAATCAAACAAGACTAAGCAGGAACTGGAAACACAATCGTCTCTTTTAAAGTTTTAAACAAATTAAAATGCCTTTAAAATGCCTTTAAAAATGCCTTGATTACAATTAGTCCTCCAAGTTATTAATTCTAAAATATAGCACATTTTTTGATAAGAAAATTGCTCTTTGTTTAAGGTACATACATAATAAGTACTTTGAAAACATTAATTTGTAGAAAATTAAATTGTGTTTGTAATTTAAGTCTGATGAAAGGAATAATTTTCGTAAAAAAAACAACAAGAAAAATTAATGTATAAAAGTGATTTAAGAAATGTGCATGTACACCTTACTAAATAGACTATTGAAAAGCGAAAATATATGAAGACTATACATCCTACAAAAGCACACAGTACACTGCTATACATATTGCACATTAAACCATGATAACATAAGTAACATTAAAGTCCAAATCATACCTGTGGGGGTACATGTAAATTATAAGTGCTCCTTTCAAACGAGTTTTTATTTTGAAAAACAAAGTTTCAGTAAAATTGAGTGATCAACATTGATGTCAGTATAAACAATAGTCTGGGTATCTAAGTCTTCTGTATAAAACTCAGCAGTACCTTGATAAATGATAACAAACACAAATATTACAAAGTCAGTTAGTGATATAATACTGTTTCTAGGACATTTTGTGCTTCTGACAAAAAGAAAACAAATATAAAAGACATTATGCAGACAAGAAGTGATCCAAGCTTGAGGTCTAAAAGAACCTACCGGGTACATATACATTGCTTTTCAACGGCAGAAACAACAATGAACATTTTTATGGTAAATGAGAAAAATTTACTGGGCAGACACACGAATCAGTGGTCAAAAGTGATTCAGCCCTAAAATGTTACCCTTCATTTACCTAAACATAGACAGGAATTGTAACAGTTGTTATCATTGTTTACAAAAGCAGCTGAGAATTATAATGTATAAAGCGGATTGTCTTTTTTTTGTATTAAATGTGGAATACATCACATCTCCAAATCATTCTTCAATTAGTTTAATGCCAGGCAGTCTCAAAATGGATTATTAAAAGAAAGTCTGGAACACTACATAAACTTATACCAGAATACCAAAACATAGGTTATTACAGGTACAAACACCAAATTACTCCAGTCAACCAAGCCGTGTTGAGATGGCAATGTTCCCACCTTTATTTACCAGCCAATCAAGTTGTGTACAAGTTCAACAAACTGTTATAAAAAAGAAACACAATTTTTTTTAAACCTGGAGCAAAAATAACTACATTGAGAATACATGGTGTTATCACTTCACCAATATTGTATTTAAGATTATGTGGTATTATTACAGTACCAGTACATTTTTTACCTAAAATACGCCCATATTTAGCTTGAATTGCGTACCGTACATTTATAACATATTAAAACAGGGATCATATATACATCGACATATACGTATACCTCCATTGTCAAAAAATTCAGATCAACAATCAAAATCCATTCCTTCTATATCCTGACTCAGATTACCGGGATTATTTCAGGTAAAACAATTAAGACAGGTAAATCAATATTTACCTGCCAGGTAAGTTATAAAACACATTAATATGTGTGATAATTATAACAGCTACAGAAGTGATTTATATTTTGCTCTACAGTTGAAGCTTCATCAATTACGGTAAATAAATTATAGTACTGTATTTTTCTGTATAAAGTGTATTCTTTGCTGTATATATATATTTTTTAACTGAACAGAGTGCATTGTCTTATATTTAATGTAAACAGTGTATGGTACTGACTGTAGAAACTTTAGATTTCATTTTTTTTTACTGTATATGAAATATGTTGTATTTAATGTACTGTATTCACTGTATAGTGTATTATTTTTATTATATACAGTATATTGTATTCACTGAACAGATTTTATTGTATATATATATGCTCATTGTATTACTCTATCCATTGTTTTGTAACATCCTTCCTGAAATCGTACATCCTGTCAATAATTTTATACATGATAATAAAGTACAAATAACAACATATCAAATCCTCACAAACTCAATATCTTTACAATGTTTTGATTTTTAGTACAAAACTAAATATCACTGCAGCGTCTCAAACAGAATTTGACACATCCTGCATTTTGGCAAATTGGTAACAATAAGTTTTAGTGTAATCTAAAAGACAGCAAACATGTCTTTTGAAAAATATTTTTCTAAAACATATGGTTATATAGTCACCGACCTTGTTATCACCTTTAATAAAATATTGTACAAAATCTGGTAGTCGCATATTTTATCTTGCCAGTATTTTGTATAGAAATATCTAAAAAAGAATGAAGCTGTCCAGATGTGCATATCCAAGATGTAAAAAAAAGTCTTCAGATATTTATTTTACACATTGTTATACCAAAATAAAAATAAGTGCTCAGTGTTTGTGGATTAGCCGGGTACTTACTATGGGACTGTAGTAGTAAACCAGTTGTAAACAGACTGACTATTCGGGCTTACACAAGTTACCCTGTACTCATAAAAGTTACTCAGTGTTTCAAAATTATCTCCCTGCGCCAGTACATCAAGCTGTCGCAGTTCAACTGCAAATTTTAACCAGAAAGTGACCTCCAACACATCTGACAAAGCAGCAAGAAATTGTACCTAATGTATTACATATATACTGTTGGAGTAAAATAACAACAACTCCATTAATTAATTGACAGACCTGAAAAAACGGAAATGGCATATGATGCTTTCAGATTTGAAATTTACCATTTCTAAACATCAGTAACTACCTGCATGATTTGTACATAACCAAAAAGCTTTGATGTTTCTCATGATTATAACGATGTATCATTCGAATCATGTTTGTAAATAATTCTTGACTTAATTAATAATAATAATTAGAGGTTTTTATATACCGCTTTATCACAACCTTGTTCGTAGGTCGTCTCAAAGCGGTTCACAAATTATTATCTGTGGTTATAGGGCCTTTGCAACCAGCCAATACCTTTCTCAACTCCCAGGGGAGCATACAGCCGGAGCTGCCATTTCGGCGCTAACAGCTAGCATTCAACCATTCTAGCACTGCCAAACCACATACTCATTTACAGCTGAGTAGACTGGAATCTTGTATTATTTGTTTTTTTGTGACTCATGATTTAATCACACAAATTATGATTTCAATGGCATATAATAATTAAACACAAACATTTTTAATCACCTATTAATCACCTAGGATTTTAATCCCCTATGGTTTTAACCACATATAGATAATGTATAATTTACAAAATTAGTACAGTTCACAAGACCGCCATTCAAGTGATTTTATCAACTCAAAACTACAAGTACATATCACTAATACACATGTTATAATAGGGTGAGACATCTTTTGAAATCAAGTTTCCATAATTTCTTTCAATATAATTATTCAGCTCATCACAAAGATAAATCACAGATAGTTACATCTTTTATGACCCTGATTTTTTTAAAGAAATTAATCAAATACATATAAACTTATCAATTATTTTTTCAATTTTTTAGTATTTATCTAATGACTTCAAAAGAGGTTTAAAATACTCCAAAATTGTAATGTATCAAAAAAACCAAGACAGGGTCACTGATTCTGATACAAAATGTACTAAAATTATTACACTCATGGGTTATTTAAAGTCTATCATAAAAAGCCAGGTCATCATTCTAAAATAAAAAGTAATTTTGAGAAAACAAAGTTCAAATTTTCCCCAAACCAGGGCATTACAATATCAAACAGCTGCTTCTTTCGACTTCTCAATCTTTCCAGGAAACGGAGATGTCTGCATCACTTCTCTGAGTATGGGGGTGGCTGTACCATTCCTCCATACGGCTGAGGGGGATAGGGCTGGTTTGGGGGTGGAGGGTAAGATTGGTCCTGGGGCGGAGGGTAGTACGGCATATCTTGCATGTATGGAGCAGGCGGAGGAGGTGGTGCTGAAATAGAGATATTACAACCACGTTTATAACAACCATGTTTATAATAATTTGTGTCAAATTCCCTGGGGATACACTAGGAGTTTTTTCATGGCTGGTTTTACTGTACTGTATAAATAACGGGAAGTTATAAGGATGTCACAATATCTAGGATCAATCTAGACTTGATTCACTATTCAAAATTCCCCTATTTCAACAAGGAAACAGCGGATTCAAAATATTTCCCCTATATGTTTTCTATAAAGTTCAACAGTTAAAATGCATAATACTGCATATATACATTTTCTTCACATAATTTAAACAAACAGTCTACAATTTTAAGCTTAAAATTGTTTATAAATTGAAATATACTGCACACATGTATGTCGGACAAAACATTTATCTTTTACCTTCATGATGCTATGGCCTTGTATTTAAATTTTTAATTTCCCCCAAATCTGAAAAAGGGTCGATTCCCCTAAAACCTAGATTGATCTATACATTTCAATACAGAAGTGAAGGAATCTAGTGCAATACATGTATATACAAACCAAATATCAATGGATCACACGGATGTAAGATTTTTGTTAAAGCAACTAGTTTAAATTTATTACGAAATGTTAACTGATTGACACGACTAGCTAGTAAAAGACTATTAATGGTTATCAGCATATCTGTTAGAATGTTTAATAATTTGATGGTTTTAAAAAACACCTAGCTAGCAGATACATAAAAAGAAGTAAAATATTGCGAAACAATTCAACAATATTTCATTTCTGTATAAGTATTGCAATATGATACAAGAGGCCCAGAGGGCCTGTATCGCTCAACTGGATACCTAAGCAATCATGGCAAACTATTCTCCAAATGAGATCAAGGGAATATGCCAGACCCAAAGGCCAATCCTTGTAGCATAGCTATATTGGATTTTTCATGCCCAGCAATTTTATGAATGGTTATGAGGTGGGGATCTCAACTGTTTCCAAGCTTTGACTCAGAAACTAGGTCCCTAGAGTTGTGGCCAGACCCCAGGATCGATTCTAATATCGTGACTGCATTTGTCTCTTTTTGCCAAGCATTTGTATATATAGTTTTGGGGTGGGGATCTCAACCGTTTCAAAGTTATGACCCAGGGGCCAAGTCTGCAAGGGTGGGGCAGACCCTGGGATCAATTCTAATGTCATGACTGCATTCGTCTCTTTATGCCCAACAATTGTATATATAGTTTTGGGGTGGGGATATTAACCATTTCAAAGTTATGACCCAGGGGTTAAGTCTCCAAGGGTGGGGCAGTCCCCAAGGCCAACCTGGAAGCATATGTGCAATCATCTCTTTATACTCAGCAATTGTATATATACGGTTATAGGGTGGGGCTCTCAACTGTTTCCAAGCTGTGACTAAGAAACTAGGTCCCTAGGGGTTCGGTCAGACCCCAGGGTCTATTCTGATATCATGATTGCATTCGTCTCTTTATGCCCAGCATTTGTATATATAGTTTTGGGGTGGGGATCTCAACCGTTTTAAAGTTATGGCCCAGGGACTATGTCTCCAAGGGTGGGGCCAGACCCTAGGGACATCCTGGAAGCAAATGTGCATTCTTCTCTTTATACTCAGCAATTGTATATATGGTTATATGGTGGGGATCTCAACCATTTCCAAGTAATACATTTTATTGGCCCCACCCCTTAGCCCGGGGGGTCAGCCCCACCATTTGTACAATTTTGAATCCCTGCCTCCCATGAATACTTCCGACCAAATATGATCAATATCCATGGCATAGTTCTGCAGAAGAAGTCATTTATAGCAATATAACCAAATTGCCCCCTTTTGGCCCCGCCCCTCAGCCCCCTGGGGGGTCAGCCCAACCGTTTGTACAATTTTGAATCTCCACCACCTAGAGATGCTTCCAGTCAAATAAGGTTGATATCCATCACTTAGTTCCAGAGAAGAAGTCACTTAAAGCAGTATAGCCAAATACCCTTTTTGGCCCTGCCCCTCAGCCCCCTGGGGGGTCAGCCACACCATTTGTACAATTTTAAATCCCTGCCTCCCAGGAATGCTTTTGATCAAATATGATTGATATCCAGTGCACAGTTCTACAGAAGAAGTCGTTTGTAGCAATATAGCCAAATTGCCCCCTTTTGGCCCCGCCCCTTAGCCCCCTGGGGAGTCAGCCCCACCATTTGTACAATTTTTAATCACCACCACCTAGGGATGCTTCCAGTCAAATATGGTTGATATCCACTTCTTAGTTCCAGAGAAGAAGTCGCTTAAAGCAGTATAGCCAAATACCCTTTTTGGCCCTGCCCCTCAGCCCCCTGGGGGGTTAGCCCCACCATTTGTACAATTTTAAATCCCTGCCTCCCAGGAATGCTTTTGATCAAATATGATTGATATCCAGTGCACAGTTCTACAGAAGAAGCAGCAATATAGCCAAATAAGCCCCCTGGGGAGTCAGCCACAACATTTGTACATTTTTTAATCATCACCACCTAGGGATGCTTCCAGTCAAATATGGTTGATATCCACTTCTTAGTTCCAGAGATGAAGTCGCTTAAAGCAATATGGGCAAATTGACCCCTTTTGGCCCAGCCCCTCAGCCCCCTGGGGGGTCAGCCCCACCATTTAAACAATTTTGAATCCCCACCACCTAGGGATGCTTCCAGTCAAATTTAGTTTAATTCCAACCAGTGGTTAAGAAGAAGTCGTTTAAAGAAATTGTTGACTACGGACGGACGACGGACGCCACGGTTTCTTAAATACAAATGTACCATTGTTTGTAATGATATCTCAATTATATATAGGTACCACTGTTTACAAGGTTTTCTGTGCAATGTTTAGTTGACCTTTTAAAAACTCAAACACAAACACACAAAATCAATTGGAAACCTTGCACAACACTCTTAAGCCAAAATGTTTGATAAATATTTCAATCTCTTTTATATTTCTTTACCTGAGGGTTCCAGCTTAGAGCCTTGATTCTGAAGGGGATATCCATGAGCCATGTTCTGTGGGGGATACCCTGGTGATGTCCCCTGATGAGGAGGAGCCATCTGTGCAGCAGGTGCACATGGTGCTGGGGAGGTGGTCTGGTATCCAGGGTAACCCCCAGGGGCCTGGGCTGGGTACTGGGGAGGTTGGTTTCGTTGTTGGGTGATGACAGTAGTAGTCGTCGTGGTAACTGGTGTTGATCGGTACACATGACCTTGAGACCTTCTTCCTCTACAGCAGCAGCAACAAATAATGAGCGTTACCACGATGATTCCACCGACTATAAGTGCAACAATGATTCCGATCGTGACAGTCACCGACATGGCTGTGTCATGAATTGTTTCTGTTTGCTCGACAGTGTAATCCACGTCATTGTCTGTAAAAAACCAGGAAGGATTAATACTCCACAGCCATCATTTGATTTTATACATTGTATATAAACAATGAGACCAAACACTAATGTCAGTAAAAATGCACAATGTCATTATGTTGTCTTTGTTCATTTCCTTTTTATTTGATAATCATAATGCTGTATAAAATGGCATATAAAAAGATGTAAAAACAACAAGAGCTGTAGGAGAACAGCATAGCTCGTCAATTAAAATTATTTTTGTAAAAAATGCTAATAGTAATTGGGCCATTACAGGATGTCCCATTTTAGATAATAGATCAGGAAACTAGAACTACATTTTTGATGTCCCTAGGGGTCATATGAAAACTCTGAAAGTTTGGTGCACTTCCCCATACATATATCTACCATGTCTAAAAGTTTTTAAGTTCTTCTTCAAACATTGTAGAAAAAGTTAGTTTACCCTTTATCCCTTAAGTCCCGCTCATCTGTCCCCTTGGAGGTCAGGGACTTTATTTGTACAATATTGAATCCCTTTCCCCTAAGGATGCTTCCTGCCAAATTTGGTTGAAATCTGTCTGGTAGTTTCAAAAGAACTAGAACTTGCCCCAAAACTTTACATGTAACCTGTAGAACTTGCCCAAAAACTTTAACCAATTCCAAAAGACTTGTGTTTCGGACCAATAATTAGCAAATATGGTCCAATTTGTTGCTAAGGAACCCCCAAGCAATTGCTGTAACCATATTACAATGTAAAATTAATTTAAAGTTGAGTTAAACACCAAAACACAGCTTGCCCAAAAACTTTAACCAAGTGGTACACTGACGCCGTGGGTACTGCTATAGTCCCCCATTCTTCGAATAGACGAGCTAAAATGTTAGACAGTAGAATATTACACTTTTATAGACTGAATATGTTTGGGGCAATAAACAACAGTAAAAGGACCTTCGACAAAAACAAAATCAGCTACCGGTACATCAAAAATGAAAAAAATACCAACACTGTAATACCGGCAGAAAATTTAATAGTACCGGTACATATACTACTTAAAACCAATCAACAGAAATTACAACACCAATCATAAGCTTCAGTCCAATCATGTTTCCTGTAATATGAATCTTGCTTATCTTTGTACTTATATTTTGTCGGATAAAGAGTTAGATATGTTTTGTCCCTGACCCTCTTTAGAAGGGTCGAAATCAGAATCATTTGTGACCAAGGCCAGAGTCATGAACCCACTATAGGAATATGCAGGGAGTCATTTAAGGGGCAAAGGACAATTCGTCCCATTTCAATATAGTTTCAATTATTATAAGTATTATTAAATGTTTAACGGCCCATCAACAAAAGATAGGTCAACAGGGCCAACAAATCATCGAACAATATAGTTTTAAAGAGTTTTACTGTTTCACTGTTCTACACTGATGAATGAAAGGCATTCTTGTCCATGTTTTGATAATAAGGTATCATATTTACTATAACATTAAGGTCAGCACCAACACTAGTACTAGATCAGACCCTACAGGTTCAAACTACATTTTAGCTTATTGCATTCATTTTGAGATGAATTATTGAGTAGTTTACACAAATATATTCTATAGTAAGGCCAATGGGATATGTTTTACAATGTAACACTTGTAACCGAGGCGGTACATATGTACCAGTGTTTGACCACAGGGGTTTGTGCTATACTGTTATGGGTCGCAGCACACATAAACATGGTTATGTGTGCTGTGACCCATATCAGTATCGTATTGTGTGTTTCAGACATTTGTAACAAACAAACCTGAACCTGAAAAAAATCTTCAGGCGCAGATCTGAACCGAGGCCGACCTCAGGAATATTCGGCATGAGTAGATTGAGGGGTCCAGACCTGCCTGACCGAAACTAAAATGCTGACTATTGCTAGTTTGCGTTATTTCTTTCTAAAACAATGTCAATCCAGATGCAGATTTTAAGAAAGTTATATAATTTAGTGGACGAGTGAAAGGACATAATAGTCATATTATTCTTGATATATTGTTATTTATTCTCCGAAACTGCATACTGGCCAACTTTTTGAGATTTCCATGGGGGAGATTCTGCACTATCAAATTTAAAACCTTATTAAAATGTGTGTACATACCCTCTAGAGACAAAATAACCCTTTAAAATGACATGTTTTGCGTTGTTCTCTCAGTTAAAATCATTATATCTTAGAATATAGGAATAGTTTAGCAATTTCACTGGTTGAATACGCTAAATTTAAGGGTAAAAAATGTTGAGTCTCCCTCCTAAATAGGGAGGGTTGGCAAGTATTAAACTGCATTTTTTAGCTCTGCCTACAGTTCGGTCCAAGTACCTTCGTTTATCATGGAATATTTCTGCACCACCTGAACCGTTTCAACCGGGACACGGGAACGCGACCCAGACCTCTGTTACATTGTTATCTTGTCCTGAGAAAGGCCCACATAGCAATCCAAAATGTGTAGGCAAATGTCAAGATTGCCAAATCGTTCTTGTGATGTTGAGTATCCTTTATTCTTCTTTATAATACAATGTACATATTTTATTTCAAAATTTCTTACAGGAAGAAAACAAAGTGCGGGGTTACAAAAATTCAACTACAAAATATGGGGATACAAAGACAAAAATCAATATACAAATCACTGAAAAATAAGCATCACTCCATTGAGACAAAATCCAAAGTCAAGCTCAAAATTAAAACAAAAATCTTCTGCACAAAACATATTTTTTAATAAAATCCAAAATGGACAGCTACAATACAAGAAATATATACATTCAACATGCTCAAATTGATTAGGTTCTCTTACATCTGTAAGCATTTCTAAATTATTATTGAATTAAGTGGCCTCACATTCTGTATTACATTGTATTACGATGTTAACTGCCCGATTGTTATCACTTTTCAATGTCCTTTTTCTCATTTGTTTATAAGCTAGTGAAACATTAAAAGAACACTTTCAAAATAATGTTTATGATGAACGCATCTTAAATACAAATTACCTTTATTAATTATGATACATGTGGTTTCAAATATCAAAAATAACATTAGCACATGGGTATTTTCAACCACAAATTATATGAGTGTACAGCGTAGTATTATCAAAATAAATGCTAAGCAGCATGTCATCCAAAATTAACCTTTATCTGGACGATAAAATCTCAACTTATGACTGAAAAGGGTTACATATAGGCATTGGGACTGATCACGGTATCCACAAACACACTATCCTACAGGTATCTTATATACAGGTAGCACATGAATAGAAAGTCCTACTGTTGAACTCTGGGTAAAGTGGTACAACTTGAAACTCCTGTCCATTTTCATCAGCAGGGTAGAATTTCAGGGTGACATGGTTCTTGTAATTTGAATACAGCGATGGTTTGAAGATCACAATAAGTCTGGATTTGGAACACAAGCGTTGAGTCCCAATTTTGCAGTCCAGATACTTCAAATAAACAAAAAAATTGCTTGACATGAACATTAATATAATTGAAAATATATCCACATTTATAGTTATACATGAACTTAATCTGGACAAACTATTTTACTACAGTATAGTTTTTGTTTGTTTTTGTTTTTGTTTTGCGTCCTATTAACAGCTATCATTTAATTTATAAGGGTGTGCCAGGTTTTGATGGTGGAGGAAAGACAGAGTTCCCAGAGAAAAATCACCGAACAAAGGCCAGTACCTGGTGACCACTGCCCCACGTAGGTCTCGTACCCGCGACCAAGTGGTGGAGGGCTAGAGGTGGCAGAATGTCAGACGCCTTATAACCACTTGGCCACCGCGGCCCCCTTCAGTATAGAAAATGTTCCAAAGGTCACTTGACTCTTTATATAAAAATGGGGTAGAAGATCTGATTTCAGTAACAATTCAACATACTAAGAGGTACGTACAAAAGTTGACCATTTTAGATGACAAATTTAAGATATAATATATACCCTGGAGGCCTAGACACAATGATTCACTAAGAACATAGGGTCATAACTCTGTCTACAGTTGGACACCAGACCAGACTTCATGGTCATGACGTGACACTGCCGTATCATCCAGAGAGGTCTCACATCCAAATTTGGCAATCATAGCCGACTCGGTGTGAGATATTCCCAAAACAAAGTGATTTACAATGAGCAATGTGAACACTTCAGTATGTAGTAGGGCACCAGATCAGACCCAAATACAGTATGCAACATTCCATCACCCAAAAAGGTACTCAAATTGGTAATCGTAGTGACACAGTATATGAACTATGCCTGGACAAAGTAACGCACAGACAGAGTGTTAACCTACAATACCACTAGAAGTGCTGTTGGGGACTAATTTATATATATATATCTCTCATCATTTCTAATTTGTCCTATATTTAGTTAAATATCATATCAATGGTTTAGTTGATCAGAAGCCAATCCAGAATTTCTGAAGAAGGCAAACTTACAGAGGGTCATTTCTTTTTAGAAATTACTATTTTATATGCAAATACTAACACAATTTTTTTTTTTTTTTGATCACTAGTAGTCTGTATGTGTCCACTTTCCATGTGTTCTTTGTAAATTTTATTTCATATTTATAGAATTTCATGTTTATATAACCAACATTCTATACTCTGGTATATTTAAAACTTCAGTACATGTACCAATAATGTCTCAACATGGTGGATGGGTGATGGAGAGGCTCTCCAAGTTTAAATTAGGAAACAGTACATGTAGAGTAGTCAAACTACCATTATTTCTTCAATTATTACATCTGGTAAAAGTTTTTTGTTTTTTTAATTAATAAAAAAAGGAGGTTAATACTTACATGCATAATGCTTTCAAGGTGAATGTTCTGAATAACTGTCAATGGCGCAGAACTACAGGAAAGTTTGGCATCGATATCCACACATACTAGATTGTGTTGTGAATCTCTGAAATCGAGTCTACAACCTGAACTTAATTTCAATCCTTTCCATGTGAAAGTCAAAGTTTCTCTTAACAACCGACCTCTATTGTACATCTTGCAGACTCTGGACCCAGTGATGGGCACTGTATAAGTGATCAAAAACAGACATTATTGTACAGGGTTCATTGTACACAACACATTGTACAGGGTTCATTGTACACAACACATTGTACATGGTTCATTGTACACAACACATTGTACAGGGTTCATTGTACACAACAAATTGTACAGTGTACATGTATACAACTGTTTTGTTCTACGTATATACAGCCACCAGTAAATATAAGTTATTTTGATCAGCAAGCATGACAAGACAGCTGTAGTATAGGCTCAGAAGTGCTGGCCATCCTTGATGTTTTTCTCCACACCACCAGCTGTAGATCCACATACCCTTATTTATTTACGGAAATTTAATAATTATAACTTATTCAACATTTTAAAAGTTGAATTTATCTGTAGATCTGTTAACACGAACAAACACATATCTACATACATACTAAGTAACATGACTTAAGTTAGTAGTGATTCACATCAAGTCTTCTTTAATCAGTCTTTTAATTAAAAGTTGTTCAGATATTCTGAACAATTACATATGGAATCAAAATCAAAACAAATAACCTCTGAGTAACCATCAAATGAGTTTTTCAATTAAGAAAACTGTGAATTGTCTGGACTCCTAGCTACTTTATCAAATATCAATTAGTTTTGTCAGAGGTGCATGCATAGCATTTACTTAGCCCTGTACATGTTACATAACATATTTACAAAGTGTTTTTTTTAAATACATGGCCAGTACATGATATTTCAACGTCATAATCTACAGCATCAAATTGCATCCTCACATATATAAATCAAATATAGTATATAACTATGTACTTGTACATATGTACAATGTACAACCAGCTTATCTGCTGCAAGCTATTCCCATGTAAAGGCATTTCATTAAATTATATTAAAACCCTGTATTAACTTATATATTAACCCGATGTGAGTTAACACTTTGATTTCATGGACAGGAGCACACATGTTTTTGCTACAACCTTCAAAATGAAAGGGTTGTGCTCTCAATGAACATAGCTTTCTTGCACCCTTTGATTTCCTCATGATAAAAGCTTTCTTGCACCCTTTGATTTCCTCATGATAAAACCAAAGTCCTGTCACCTTAAGCTTGTGGATACAAGTTGACTAGGCTGGAATTGTTGGGGAATCCTACATATATCAGAGTAATGCTGTGTTTACAGACAAATAGAATAGCACTGCAGTGTAATGGTAAATTGATCACGACCGGCTTTGATATTAGAGAAGCTCTTAATCTTCAAGTCCAGATATTATTGTCTATCAGCTTCCTGATTGGTCAGTTTTTGAAGTCTGGATTCAATCAACTAGCTACATGTAACTGTGAGTGGTACGGTAGCTTTGATTCTGTCATAAGAATATCAAAGGGTACATATATATATATATCAGATGTGATATCAAAAGTGAAAACCCTGGATTTCAGTTAGATTTCAGTATAATATTCATGACCCAGAAAAAAAGATGCAAAGCACAAACCCCACAAACTTGATGTAATTTTTACAGTTACAACAACATCTATTGTATGTAAATGTTTTCTTACGTGAGTTTTGACCCTATTAATTTGTTCCAGCTGGAGTAACAGTAAAATTGACCCTGTAAAATCAACAGCACTAAAACACAACTACCTACCTGTATCTTCATGAATAATCTAAATTTTGTTACATATAAGTACATGATGTACGTACCAATATTGAACTTTTTAGCTACAATAAATCAATCTTTAATTAGCTACTATACCTGTATCATAGGATTCAACTAGGACAGCGTTGAAGAAGACAGCAAATGTGAGAAAAAGTGTTGTGCACTGCATGAAAACCATACTGATCTACTTTGATATGGCACCTCTTCTAAAATTGACAGCACTGCAGCTGGCATACAAGGTTTCCAGCTTGTAATCCTTGGACCTCAATCTTTGTAACAATCTGGAAAATATTTAGAGAATCATTTTAACAAAAATAATATCTAGATTTTTTTCTACATGCACAATAAATATTAAAGATGAATGTCTTGAAATTGATGTCCTTGTCAGAGTCTCTAAAATTCTCCTTCTCTTACCTAAAGTAGGTTTCAAACAACTATCACGCTCAATAGCTGGGAGAAGTATATCTGTTTCTTCATTATAATGTAGACTAGCTGTCTAATAATTTTCCTGCGATAAATTAGTTACTGTAGGTTAAATTCTATTATATTTATTATGCTCATTACACATCCTGGTTGTGTTTTCTTTTTAAATAACTCTGGATAAAGCTTGCAGCTTTCCCCTGTATTGGTTCAAGCTTTAGTCTGGTAGGGATCCCATATATATAGCTGCTCCATATCTATACTCAAGAGTGGAATTAATCATGTTAATTTAAGTTAGGTGATAATTATAAGTAGGACTTCTACTTGTGTTGAATGAAATAAAAAGCATTAATTTCTTTATTTACAACAATTATGAAACAAGTTTTAACAACTTATATTAATCATTCTTGTTGGCCCGGATGTAAGCACGCTGGGGGTTTTATTGCGAGAGGAAACCGGAGTATCCAGAGAAAACCCACATGGTCATACAGGTGACCCCATACCTTTTCATGTCCGATTGGGGAAACAACCCCTGGCTGCCTTGGTGAAAGGTAAGTCTGGTATCCACAGCACCACCCGAATGGAGTATTTTTGTCAATATTTTCCCCGGGCCCTACGTAACAGAGGTCATTATTTGTTTCAATGCCTCCTCTAGGGGTCAAATAAAGGACCTTCATCAAAGGAGGTAAAGAGTCCAGAAACAACTTTGTCTAACGTATATGTATAATACCTGACTGGTTTTTAAATCCTTCAGTGGTACCTACTGTAGTTTATACCGTTACCCTGACGACGAGAGTTTGTTTATCTGTTATGGTTGATTCAGTCACCTGCGAGTGTAATATTTTAGTTTGGAACAGTATGTTTAATAACAGATTTTAAGGTTACAATATATATTATATCAGGTCAGGGAAAACCACTATCTTGCCTATAATACGCCAATTTGGGTATGGATTTGTTACTTAAAATAGCCAAAATCACTTTAAGCTTAACTTTTTCAAATTGTCACATTTATTGAAACATCATTCAAATGTAAAAATAAACCTTATTTGTGTAACAGAGCGCATGATTAATTAAATATAAATCACTACCTCCGCATGGGATTGAACCCGGGACCTCTGGCTTACTAGTCTTACGCTCAACCGATCGAGCTAAAGAGAAGTTCTCTATAGCCGAGCGATATATTGCGGCTAGTATTTACCAGGGTTACATACTCCCCTTCCAGGAAAGAACTCGTCCTCGAGTTTTCCAAGTGTAACAGCGATGCTTGTGGGGCAAGGCTGAGTATTTTCCCCGGGTCCCTACGATTTGGGTTATTTTTAGTAACACCATACTCCAACTTGCATATAATAGGCGAGTTTGCGTATTATACGCAAGTTAGTCGTTTTCCCAAACATCATATTAGTCACAATCCCAGCGGAGGTCCTACTATCTGACAGTATGGTTTCTCTTTCAGTATTTCTTGGTATTCAAAATTTGACATTATAACTATTTAGATAAGCTTTATTTTTTATTACTATTATTACATCATGAGCTAGGCTAAAAACAAAAATGTCACACGTTTATTCAAGCTGTATTTTTCTGAAAACGAAATAACCAGTGGTCAAACCAGCTGGTTTCGGCTAAATCAGTAAATGATGACGCATTCTTCTGTTCTTTGCTTACATATTTTTCTTTTCCGATGTGTACTGTACCAACAAGGAGTGAGAAAACATTTAATTAAAAAGTCTGTTGGTCGTATTTTGTTATTAGAATGTTGGTATACTTACTTTCCTTGCGTGTTTGCCTTTAACACAATACTTTTGTTTACGTTTTCAGAATTTCTATTTTCTGATTTAATACGAAACTGCGTCCAGACTCCAATATCGCGTCGCGATCGGTAAGACGCTTGAATCATTCAATTTCATTTGGATCCCACAACTTCCCGTCCGAGTGAGCGGAATAGAACTGGGAGAGCCCGCTGAGCAAGCCGTACAAGGCCAACGAGTATACTGGGGTCTGTTCGTTTATGCGGAACAACCGGTTTGACCGTTTATAAATGTAACGATTTCGGGTATAAATCCTGGCGGACCTGCATATGTTTATGCAGGCCTTGCAAGGCGTTGTCAAGGATCGCCTGAAAGCAGCATCAGATTACTAGGTCCGATCTTATTTAATAAACGAACAACAGTGGTCCGACAGGTTTGACTGTTTACACGAAAACGGCCCTATTGACACTGGTGTATTTATTTAACGATACTGTAACAGGACTCATTCTCATGAACTTTCCTTAAATTTAAATTAAAAAAAAATATTTTTGAAGATAAGAAAAATGTTAGTTACCGCACGGAATTAGATTACCGAAATTTTCCTCAATGAAAAGCAAACAGTAGTGGCATGCCTTCTTGCGGAAAATTTCAAGGGGAGGAATTTCGTTCCATATCATGATGTAACCTTAGTTAATAAATTATATCAGACTCATGGCTTGCCACTTTTTGCCACTGATCCGTAGGTGGGACGGGCCCGAGTGCGGATGCACTTTATGTGTTGGTTAGCGGTTTTTTGGCTACCTATTTTTTCCTTCTTCGTATGTGTCCTGTGCTGGCTGAAGTGTATTTTTCTCTGTTTAAAATGTAACGTACAGCTTTACATATGGCTCTGTGCTTTTTGTCAGCTTTGTAGTTTACAATTTGATGCTTTTGTCATATGTTTACTTTCTGCAAATGTGCTGTACATGCTTTATATGCTTTATATTTTTACTGTTTAACGTTTCATTATGTATGTGTATTTTGTATTTTTGTGGTTTTTTTTCTTGTTATGTATTTTGTTCTTTACATGTGTTTGTCGAAATACAAGCTCTTCGTAGCTTATGTTGTATGTTTATAATATTCGACGTAAAATAAAGCTTCTGTATCTGTATCTGTATAATTATTAAACTAATGAAATACTGAAAGTCATTAGCAGCAGACCTACATGCCATCGATTCATGTCCTCTAATATTTTAGATAACATTAATCAGAGAGACAAATATTTGCATAACTTTAATAAATATGGTAAATCTGAGGATTATAAATCCTTCTGCTATTTTCGCAATTTGACACAGCGACAATGTAAAAAAAGACAAAGCTAATTATTTTGAAGAGCAAATAGCTGACAATAAAAATAATTCAAAACCCTGTGGAAAAAGTTCAAAAATCTCGATTATGAGCAAGATCCCAAATCAGATGGAAGTGTGGTCCTTGAGAATGATATTCTTAATTGCCATTATGGTTTGAATATTGCCAATCATTTTAATGATTTTTTCACAAATACTGCATCTAAATCGGTATTAAAGCTTCCTAGTCCCGCGGGAATTTTACCATTCGTCTACTACCCTTGTAAAGAATGTTCATGCTGATGGAAATCACAATCAAAATAAATTTTACTTGAAACATGTTTCAGAAGAGTTTGTTGTTAAAAAATTATGCAATCTTAATAGTGGAAAAACTACAGGTCTAGATGGTATACCTGCAAGAATTTTGAAAGATGCAGCACCAGTTTTAAAGGTTCCTATTACATTTTTAATAAATATGTCTATATCGGAGGGAAAGGTTCCTGATGAATTAAAATTTGCCAATGTCAAACCTCTTTTTACAAGGAACAGTCGACTGAAAGCAGAAAACTACTGTCCAATAAGCATACTCAATATTGTTTCTAAATTACTAGAAAAGGCTGTTTATAGACAGCTTGAACTATTTTTGTCAGATAAGAATTTGCTTTACGAATTCCAATCTGGATTCAGATCATCTTATTCAACAGATTCCTGTATCATACATCTTTTTGATCATATTAAATCTCAAACATCCAATGGTTTCTACAAAAAGCTTTTGACACCGTCAATCATGAAATTCTCTGTGACAAATTAAAAATTATGAGTGTCGAATCAATCTCCTGGTTTAAATCCTATTTATCTGACAGAAATTAGACCACTATGGGATAAGAGACCATACCCATGAATGGATCAGACAAGGGCTAACAACAAGGAAACAAAGAGTGGTCCTAGATGGTGAATCCTCTTCTGAAGCCATGTCGACTCCGGGGTACCCCAAGGCACAGTCTTGGGGCCCTTGATGTTCTTACTCTACGTAATTATATATATAAATGATATCGGCGAGGGAATAAAATCAGAGATTAAGCTTTTCGCAGACGACTGTTTATTATACCGAACCATTGACTCTGAAGCAGACACCAACCAGCTGCAGGAAGACCGAAACAAAATGACAGAGTGGTCCAAGACTTGGCTAATGCGATTTAATGCCAAAAAAGTAAATTAACTACATTGTAATTACAGAAGTATAAACGGGTAAACTTAGTGAAGGTATATATATATACATATATATCTTTTAAAGTGTGCGTACATGTTGTCATCGTATATTGATGACTGTATCTATAAAATTAGATGACACGTATAATATCAGAATAACACGCGCGTGCCTTAAATCGATAGTGCCTATATTAGACATATTTCATCCAACACGACTTATATTTTAGGTTTTACCAGAGACGTATATATTACATACGTCTCTGGTTTTACAGAGAATATGCAAATATAAATGACAATTTGAAGTGGAAAAGAGTAAAATGGATTTTTTTTATTTGTATGCCATTTTAGTCATTCCATGTATCTTTGGATATGAACATAACGTACTGAAATTTAATTGACAGACATGGGCATTCGTAACAAAAAATACACGTACAAACAGAAACAATCTAATTAAAATTATATCTTCACATCGCTCCCGTTTTCTGATATGTAGGGAGCGATGTGAAGATATAATTTTAATTAGATTGAAACAGAAATGGTAACAGTTCTAAAAATGCATATAGTTTCCACCAGCTTTAATATATCGTTTGATAGGGATTAGGGCGATAGATATGTTGGGACGATAAGATTTTGGTGCAATATGTAGCTTTTTGGGGCGAAACTGTTTTGGGCGAAAAAGACATCTTGGGGCGATATGGTCGTCAAACTTGAGCGTAATAACCTGTAAACTCGATCAATGTGAGCAGGTATTGGGGCGAAATGGTGACTTTTGGGCGTAACCCATGGAGTATCGAGGATGATGACTGGACGATCCAGAATCTAACAGCTTATATAATTATGGGCTATGACGGTCTCTACGAGCTTTCTTAGTCTGTAGTTAGCTTCACTTAAAAATAAGCGTATGTGTGACCAGAATTTGGGCGCATTCGAACAGAAGTTCACGTTACTCGGACATGTACGTTCTTTGGATTCTCATCTGATACACTTACACGAAATGTCCAGTCTGTTTGACTGAGAGGGAGGGCAGGACGTAAATTTAATAAACAATTATTAGGTAACCACATAATATAAACGTGTGTATTGACAAGCGAGACTTTACCCGTAAGGTAACACTGGGATAATACACATGTACACTGACAAATAACACATGGAAACGTGTTTCATTCGATTAAAATGTATACAAATTAAAGAAACATTAGATGGTGTCATTAAGGTAAAAATTACCGAGTTAAAATGTATGATTAAATGATTATTTCCATTTTCAATATTAGGATATAATTTTGTAAGGTTTTTCTTCTGCACCCAAATGATAATACTACTGGAGCAATCTGGATTAAATCGGGGCCTTTCAACACTACTAAATAAATACTTTGGCAAGGGAACTAACCCTTATCCAGACAAACTGATTTTTGTAGTTTTATCTGCTACAGTGAAGGAATGATATTCCAAATAAAACAAAACGCTCTGAAGAGAAATTCTTTTTTTCCAGGTATAACTGATGCAAACGTGTTCTTTTCACCTTCATTACAAAAAAGTATCTGATTGATTCTAGATATTAATTTGATTTAGGGTATGTGTGACACCATATATAATTGAAAGGGATAACTGTCTAAGTTTTGTTGACAAAGTAAGTTATGTGGTTGACCTCTTTGATGAGTACCTGGTACAAAAGTTTACTAGATTGTTCACAATCTTCAGTAGCATGTATGCTTTGAAAAAAATGAAGGGAGATAACTCCAAAACAAAAAACAGGTATATTGTATATAATTGCGTTAAGCAGCATAATAATCTGAAGGCAAAGACAATTGTGAAATTGTATGCTGGAAACTAACATGCAGATATACGCTTGGTAATTTTGCAGTCTGATGTTTGTCCTGCGCACCTTCCATCGTCAGTGCTCACAGTTTGCACGGAGATGGTGTCACACAACCACTACTGGGATAGTGTCCCCCAATGCCCGAACCCCTGGGGAAGTCGAGGCCCACCCCCAGTCAGTTAAGGCTACAGTGGACAAGTGGACACACTGGCTAGAAGGTGGGAATGTGCCAGAAGCAAAGGAATCTGTCCAGCTTATCATAGCAAGTGTGCTGGGGCACAAAATGGTGGGTACATTTGATTAATCGATGATTGTCTCCCCTTTCTGTAGTACCTCATTATTGTAAAGTGAGTTATGTTATACAGTATGTGTCCTCAGACGGTGTGGGAAAATGAAGCATTCCATGGCCACCACATAGGAATACTGAGTTTCTCCCATATAAAAGGTGCCCATCCCCCTCTGTCGTGTTCTTAGTCTCTTCCTACATATTTGGTGCTCCCGCCTCTGTAGTATATACTGAATATAATCAATGACTCCCCCATAGTATGAGCAATACCCTTTAACAGGTGACACCATGTGGTGTATTGAGGCACTCCCTATGTCTAAGTCTGTGACTCGGCTCCCTGAATCAGATTTATTTTAGTCCCTTTAATCATCATTTCAGTCAATTGTTTTGTTTGTTGAATGAGTCACTTCTCATAATAAACTATACTCTGCATAGTGAGTAACTCCCTATGTTGTAAGTGAGCTACACCCTTTGCTTTGAGACGGAACTAGACTGGGTTAATCATTGATGATCAGGTAGCTCAATTGGTAAAGCGTCGATCTAGAGTTCGGGAGGTCCCAGGTTCAAATCCCAGTTTGGCCATGCATTTATTTTCCTCCTGGGTAAATGCTTGGCAAGGGGATACCTGATCCTTGTTGGTAAATAGTGTTGTCTTTGGGGGCCAAGACTTAGAAAAAGGAGGGAGGAATGTAGCGGAATTGGATCGGGTTGATCGTTGTTGACCATGCAGCTCAATTGGTAAAGCTTCCATCTAGAGTTCGGGAGGTCCCAGGTTTGAATCCCCCTCTGGCTGTGCATTTCTCTTTCTCCTGTTATAGCTTTATAATGAGTTATTCCTCTTACTATATTTTGAGTCGATCCGGGGATCCCCTAACTGTTGAATAAGTTATAATTACTTCTTTTGCTGTATCATGAGTTATAGCTAATAACTCCCTTTGCTTTATTAAGAGTTACTCCCCTTGTTGATTAATGTCTTGCACTTGCCATGTTACATATTGTGAAACACACTACTTGTTCTCTTTTATTTCCAGATTCATGATGTGTCAGAAGAACTTATGCTTAATGAAAATCAGACAGCCAGGATTGCTGAAATGTGTAGAAAACGTTATAAAAGGTAACTTGTATATACCAAGTACATGTGTGACAAGCAGTTAACAATGAACACTTTTACCTTCCGGGATATTGTCTTTGTTCATTTGAATGTTGTAACATTTTTCATGATATAAAGCTGTGTTCAAATTTCATTTTAGGTTCTTATCGTGTGGTCAACCTGTATGCATCCTCGATACCGAGGGATTATGCTCACTTTTGCTCTCTGCACCCCTGGAATATGTCATAGCAAAATTGAAGGCTCAGTGTGCGCCACCTTGTTGATGAGATGAGAATGCTAGTTTGATCCTTTGATGTGGACATCAAAATAATTTAGCGGTCGCATGATGGTAAAACTTACTGGCTTTGAAGTCGGACGTCGCTCCTCTGTAATCTTCAAAGGACAGGTATCAGCTTAGTGATTTTTTTTTACCTGAGAACAATCAAATAGCTAGCTTGATGCCTTCAATTTTGCCATGACATATTCCAGGGGTGCAGAGAGCGAAAGTAAGCATAATCCCTGGATATTGAGGATGACCTGTATGATATTAAGGGGTAACATAGCACAGTAAGTGGTGCGCTACTTAACACTGACTGATAAAGTCTACGCAGCTGTAAAAATGAGTATCAGTATGCCAAAAGATATGTGAAAGATTGGTGTCTTCCTGTAGTATCAAAATGATAAGTTGATAACAGTCATTGGATTAATGGCACAGACATTAAGTTAGCCATGACCACTAGATTTGAAAAGACACCTACATATATTCTTTGATGCCATGTTTACTAAAACAAATGGTAATAATGTATTGTATTCATACTTCATGTCATTCGTCCCTTTCCACTGCATACCTTATCTAACTATTCGACTTCAGAATGCCAGTTCAATACATCATTGAGGAATGGGACTTCCATGACCTCACCCTCAAGATGAGGCCCCCTGTGTTTATTCCTAGACCAGAGACTGAGGTAAGGTAATCATCTTCAGACTCTAGCAGTGGTTACCAAATCGATAATGTTTACAAGATTATGAAAAATACCCTCTCTTTATAAAAAATAACACCTACAAGAATATTAAATAGCACAAAATTTATGGATAAAAATTGTAGCTAAATATGCATGTGATGATGAACGGTTTCATTAATTTGAGGTATTTATGTTGTTATTTTTTCTGACAGGAACTTGCCCAGCTTGCTTATAATGACATTAAGAAAAAACAGGATTCTTCCAAACCTATAAGGATTCTTGAATTGGGCAGTGGCAGTGGGGCAATTTCTGTTTATCTTCTTAATAAATTACCACAGGTAAATTAAAGTTTGTTCATGTATCTATTGTCAGCTACCACAGGTAAAACTTTATCTATGTATCTATTGTCAGCTACCACAGGTAAAACTTTATTTATGTATCTATTGTCAGCTACCACAGGTAAAATTTTATCTATGTATCTGTTATCAGCTACCACAGGTAAAACTTTATCTATGTATCCATTGTCAGCTACCACAGGTAAAACTTTATCTATATATCTATTGTCAGCTACCACAGGTAAAACTTTATTTATGTATCTATTGTCAGCTACCACAGGTAAAAATTTATCTATGTATCTATTGTCAGCTACCACAGGTAAAAATTTATCTATGTATCTATTGTCAGCTACCACAGGTAAACTTTAAACCTATCGTCAGCTACCACAGGTAAAACTTTATCTATGTATCTATTGTCAGCTACCACAGGTAAACTTTAAACTGTTGTCAGTAAAGCCAGTAAAGTTTAAATCTGTTGTCAGTAACACAGGTAAAATTTAAATCTGTTGTCAAGTTACACAGGTAAAGATAAAATCTGTTGTCGGTAAAACCCGTAAAGTTTAAATCTGTTGTCAAGTAATTAACACAGGTAAAGTTTAAATCTGTTGTCAAGTAGCAAAGGTAAAGTTTAAATCTTTTGTAAAGTAGCACAGGTAAAATTTAAATCTTTTGTAAATTAACACAGGTTTAGTTTAAATCTGGTGTCAACTATTTTACTGTGTGTTGAAGTCAGAGGTGGTAGCTGTAGACAGGAGTGGGGAGGCTTGTGCCCTGACTGGAGAGAATGCTGAGTGTACAGGTGTTCAGAAAAGACTGACCACTTTGCTGATGGATTACTCTCGACCTGGTTAGTTATCAGAAGCATTTTGATGCTAGTGGCATGCTTATCGTGAACAAGTTGCTATAAAAGTGATCACTTTGCTCCCAATTCATGAACAGCCTCTGTTGAGCAATCAGTTTCACTGACCGCCTTATCCTCCTATCATTTCATCTTTGAGTATTATACTTTATGATATTGGTAGTTGAGCTTGGAGCAACTTCTTAACAACATTTTCAAATCACTGGATAGAAGCTGTATATTATATTATTATGTTATTAATAATATATGTCAGATGTGCTTCGATAATTGCACTATTTGAATTCATGATTGACCTTCCTGGTAAATTAGTGCAAAAAATGTGTCTGTCATAAAAAACAATGATGATCAATATATTTGTACTGCGCACTGTTTGTAGATATTAAATATATTCAGTATACTTCCATGTTAAGGGTTAATATATACTGAATGGAAAACAAAAAATATTGTATGCTGCACTGACAATCCTCAATCCTCAGGCTCTGTTAGTAGAGTAGCTGTCCACAGTTCTGAGGGTTTTGGTTATAATACCAGTCTATACTGTTGAATTTGTTCCTTCCTTTTATATATTCTGCTGCTGTGCATGACTTTATGCTGTATTGTTGTAGAATCATTGCCAACATTGAGGTCACACGGACTGTATGACCTTGTTATTGCCAATCCTCCCTACATACCGACTGATGAGATAGAAACCATGGAAACAGAGTTGACAAGGTAAGTTGTTACTGGAAATTATTCTAATCACCTCAGTGTCTCATTTTCATAAAACTTAGTGAATACCCTCTATATCAAAAACATGTATCTTTAATTATATCTTCATTTTAGAGTTGGATTTTTTTGCACAAAATCAGATGTTCTACTTTAAGTATCTTTCAATTTCAGTGATTGTACAATTCGGTCTGAATTAAGCAATTGTATGAACACTCTGTTATCCAAAGGTCAGGGTTGTAGCAAGGGGTCAAAGTTCAAGTCATTGTAGTCTGTGTATAGGCAATAACCTCCAAATGCAATGACTGAACTGTATTGATTAATTGTTTATATAAATAATATTTTTTATAGCCAATTGACAATTGAAGTCATTGTTTTGTTGAGTAATTATATGACCAATCAACACTTAAAGTCATTCAGGGCCAAATAAAACTTTAATATTAGCTCATAGATATATGTATCATCACTAGAGGGTCTGCTGAGGTAGGGGGCATGCACAGTATTGTATTGTAGTGATTCAGAGATTTCTGATTTGACTTTGTGTGTCATGAAAATAAAGTCACAATTTGAAATCCCTATGAAAAGTTACATTGAAGACTTTGAAGTACTACATCGTCCTGAATGTAAAACACAAGTTCTGGAATTCATAATTATAGCGCTAATACATTAATATTCTGTCCTCCAAATGAAGAATAGCAGTCGGTTGTCGTCAGTTTATAATATACTGTACAATGTGTGAGTAAATAAGTAAGATAATAGTCACTAGTAATGAAGCAATCCTTCGAAGTAACAATACTTCAAATGGATCAATAACGTTGTGTATAATTTCTAGATATGAGGACCCACATGCCTTTCATGGAGGCAAGGACGGTCTGGATTATGTGAGAATCATACTGTCAATGTCAACACAACTACTGAAACCTAACAGGTAAGTCTAGTTTATCATAAACATGACAGGTACGTCTAGTATATCATAAACATAACAGGTGTGTCTGGTATGTAGTAAACATGACAGGGAAGTCTGGTATATCATAAACATTACCATTATGTCTGAAACATGACAGGTATGTCATAAACATGACAGGTATGTCTGGTATGTCATAAACATGACGGGGAAGTCTGGTATGTCATAAACATGACAGTTAAGTCTGGAATTTCATAAACATGACAGGTATGTCTGGTATGTCATAAACATGACGGGGAAGTCTGGTATGTCATAAACATGACAGTTAAGGCTGGTATTTCATAAACATGACAGGTATGTCTGGTATGTCATAAACATGACAGGGAAGTCTGGGATACCATAAACATAACAGGTAAGTCTGGTATGTCATAAACATGACGGGGAAGTCTGGTATGTCATAAACATGACAGTTAAGTCTGGTATGTCATAAACATGACAGGTATGTCATAAACATGACAGGTATGTCTGGGATACCATAAACATGACAGGTATGTCTGGTATACCATAAACATGACAGGGATGTCATAAACATGACAGGTATGTCAGGTATACCATAAACATGCCAGGTAAGTCTGGTATGTCATGAACATAACGGGTAGGTCTGGTATATCATAAACATGACAGGTAAGTCTGGTATACCATAAACATGACAGGGATGTCATAAACATGACAGGTATGTCAGGTATACCATAAACATGACAGGTAAGTCTGGCATGTCATAAACATAACGTGTAAGTCTGGTATGTCATAAACATGACAGTTAAGGCTGGTATTTCATAAACATGACAGGTATGTCTGGTATGTCATAAACATGACATGTAATTAGTCTGGTATGTCATAAACATGACAGGTGTGTCTGGTATGTCATAAACATGACAGGTATGTCTGGAATGTCATAAACATGACAGGTATGTCTGGTATGTCATAAACATGACGGGGAAGTCTGGTATGTCATAAACATGACAGGTAAAGTCTGGTATGTCATAAACATGACAAGTAAAGTCTGGTTTGTCATAAACATGACAAGTGAAGTCTGGTTTGTCATAAACATGATGGGTAAGTCTAGTATCAACAAGATAAGTTCTATAAGACTGTCCATCACCTGTATTCATGTACGGAATCTCTTGAATCTGCACACCACATGACAGGTAAGTCTGGTATGTCATAAACATAACGGGTAAGTCTGGTATGTCATGAACATAACGGGTAGGTCTGGTATATCATAAACATGACAGGTATGTCTGGTATACCATAAACATGACAGGTATGTCATAAACATGACAGGTATGTCAGGTATACCATAAACATGACAGGGAAGTCTGGTGTGTCATAAACATAACGTGTAAGTCTGGTATGTCATAAACATGACAGTTAAGTCTGGTATTTCATAAACATGACAGGTATGTCTGGTATGTCATAAACATGACAGGTAAGTCTGGTATGTCATAAACATGACAGGTAAGTCTGGTATACCATAAACATGACAGGTATGTCTGGTATACCATAAACATAACCGGTACGTCTGGTATGTCATAAACATAACCGGTAAGTCTGGTATGTCATAAACATGACAGGTATGTCTGGTATGTCATAAACATGACGGGTAAGTCTGGTATGTCATAAACATGACAGGTAAAGTCTGGTATGTCATAAACATGACAAGTAAAGTCTGGTTTGTCATAAACATGACAAGTGAAGTCTGGTTTGTCATAAACATGATGGGTAAGTCTAGTATCAACAAGATAAGTTCTATAAGACTGTCCATCACCTGTATTCATGTACGGAATCTCTTGAATCTGCACACCAGAGTTATATTCATTTGCAATTTACCAGATTGTTTATACATATAGGGTTCTTAAGGTTGTTTCGATTTAAAACGTCATAATACATTTATTCAACTTTAGTTATCCCCGATTCATTTGAAAACATTTAATGAGAAGACCCTTTATGGTAATTTGGTATGTCCATCTTTATGGTTATTTGGTATGTCCGTCTTTATGGTAATTTGGTATGTCCGTCTTTATGGTATTTTGGTATGTCAGTCTTTATGGTATTTTGGTATGTCCGTCTTTATGGTAATTTGGTATGTCCGTTTTTATGGTAATTTGGTATGTCCGTCTTGATGGTAATTTGGTTGTCCGTCTTTATGGTAATTTGGTATGTCCGTCTTTATGGTAATTTGGTATGTCCGTCTTTATGTTAATTTGGTATGTCAGTCTTTATGCTAATTTGAAATGTCCGTCTCTATGGTAATTTGGTATGTCCTTCTTGATGGTACTTTGGTTTTCCGTCTTTATGGTAATTTGGTCTGTCAGTCTTTATGGTAATTTGATATGTCCGTCTCTATGGTAATTTGGTATGTCCGTATTTATGGTAATTTGGTATCTCTGTATTTATGGTAATTTGGTATGTCAGTCTTTATGCTAATTTGAAATGTCCGTCTCTATGGTAATTTGGTATGTCCGTCTTTATGGTAATTTGGTATGTCAGTCTTTATGGTAATTTGATATGTCCGTCTCCATGGTAATTTGGTATGTCCGTCTTTGTGGTAATTTGGTATGTCAGTCTTTATTGTAATTTGGTATGTCAGTCTTTATGCTAATTTGAAATGTCCGTCTCTATGGAAATTTGGTATGTCCGTCTTTATGGTAATTTGGTATGTCTGTATTTATGGTAATTTGGAATGTCAGTCTTTATGGTAATTTGGTATGTATGTATTTATGGTAATTTGGTATGTCTGTATTTATGATAATTTGGTATGTCTGTATTTATGGTAATTTGGTATGTCAGTCTTTATGGTTATTTGGTATGTCTGTCTTTATGGTAATTTGGTATGTCAGTCTTTATGGTAATTTGGTATGTCCGTCTTTATGGTAATTTGGTATGTCTGTCTTTATGGTAATTTGGTATGGGAGTCTTTATGGTAATTTGGTATGTCAGTCTTTATGGTAATTTGGTATGTCAGTCTGGTTTATTGTTACAGTGCCCTATGGTTTGAGGTAGGACTAGGACACTGTGATGCCATCAGGTCAGAGGTCACCAAAGAGCCGATACATGGACTTCGCTTCTGTTCAGCAGTCAAAGACTTTACAAATAGGTATGTATTAATTTGTAAGTACACCTCGGTAAAATCACAAGATGACTACTATATGGATTTTGATTGACAAAAACAATATTTTATGCTCGCACACATGAAGTGCCAGTGTAGCACAATTGGCAACAAAAATTTCTTGCTAAAATTCTTATCTATTAGTGGTTGATAGTATGCAAGTCTTCATATATTGTGTCACTCAAACCATTTTTCTCTTTTTCAGAGATCGATTTTGTGTGCTGAGAACATGAATTCCACAATGACTTGACACAACATTGAATAAGGGACCATCCACTGTGGTGTCCATCATTACACATGTACCAACCATATCATTGAGGTGGCCATCATTATCGAGTAACAACCATTGAGATGGCCATCATTATACGTATAACGTATTAACGTATTATACGTATAACCATTGAAGTGTCCACTATTACATGGGTAACAACCATTGAGATAGCCATCATTATACGTGTACCAACCATTGAGGTGTCCACCATTACATGTGTACCAACCATTGAAGTGTTCTGACTATTACCTGTGTACCAACCATTGAAGTTTCCACCATTATGGGTGTACCAACCATTGAGGTGTACCAACCATTGAGCTGTCCACCATTACACGTGTACCAAACATCGAGGTGTCCAACGTTACAGATGTACCAACCATCTAGGTGTCCACCATTACACGTGTACCAACCATTGAGGTGTCCACCATTACACATATACCAACCATCGAGGTGTCCACCATTACACGTGTACCAACCATTGAGGTGTCCACCATTACAGATGTACCAACCATCTAGGTGTCCACCGTTACAGATATACCAACCATTGAGGTGTCCACCATTACATGTGTACCAACCATTGAGGTGTCCACCGTTACAGATGTACCAACCATCTAGGTGTCCACCGTTACAGATGTACCAACCATTGAGGTGTCCACCGTTACAGATGTACCAACCATCTAGGTGTCCACCATTACATGTGTACCAACCATTGAAGTGTTCCGACTATTACATGTGTACCAACCATTGAAGTTTCCACCATTATGGGTGTACCAACCATTGAGGTGTCCACCTTTACAGATGTAGCAACCATTGAGGTGTCCGTTACAGATGTACCAACAATCTAGGTGTCCACCGTTACAGATATACCAACCATTGAGGTGTCCACCTTTACAGATGTCCCAACCATTGAGGTGTCCACCGTTACAGATGGACCAACCATTGAGGTGTCCACCTTTACAGATGTCCCAACCATTGAGGTGTCCGTTACAAATGTACCAACCATCTAGGTGTCCACCATTACATGTGTACCAACCATTGATGTGTCCACCGTTACAGATGTACCAGCCATCTAGGTGTCCACCGTTACAGATGTACCAACCATTGAGGTGTCCACCTTTACAGATGTACCAACCATTGAGGTGTCCGTTACAGATGTACCAACCATCTAGGTGTCCACCGTTACAGATGTACCAACCATTGAGGTGTACCAACCATTGAGCTGTCCACCATTACACGTGTACCAACCATTGAGGTGTCCACCGTTACAGATGTACCATCTAGGTGGCCACCGTTACAGATGTACCACCCATCTAGGTGTCCTCCGTTTCAGATGTACCAACCATTGAGGTGTCCCAACAATTGAGGTGTCCACCGTTACAGATGTACCAACCATTGAGGTGTCCCAACAATTGAGGTGTCCACCATTACACATATACCAACCATTGAGCTGTCCACCATTACACGTGTACCAACCATTGAGGTGTCCACCATTACAGATGTACCAACCATTGAGGTGTCCACCGTTACATGTGTACCAAACATCGAGGTGTCCACCATTACAGATGTACCAACCATCTAGGTGTCCACATGCATGTGTACTAACTATGGAGGTGTTGACTGTTACAAGTATACTATTATTATGGAGCAGCCATATCAGTGTTCACTTTTTAATACAAGTGTGTCAATTAAGTGCCCAACATTACATTTGTACCAACCACCATTAGTGTGTTTTAAGTTCAGTGATTTCCATGCCAAATCTTTTATTGAATTTATTAAACCTCTAGAACACAAAAGTTTATGGTCCTTCTCATATTTCACCTACTTCATAACTGAATGACATAATAAAACAGCGATACCCCTATTGTCATTTGATCATTTCCACAGAACATGTGATTTTACAGGAACATCTAATGTCTTCTGATCAAAATATTTAATTATATTGTAATGTTTTGATATAACAACAAATTTTTACTTTAAAGTGATTTATGTACAGTGTACTATGCTTTGAATGGTATTCAACATTTGTTTTAAATGAACTGTCTTTTTTTTATTTAAACAAATTCAGTGATGGGTACCCGTTCTAAATTTTACCCGAGAAGCCCTTTACTTTGTCTGCCATCAATCAGTTAATGTTCTCCTCAAACATAACACAACAGACCTTTATCAGGTTTAATTTCCAACCATTGAAGCAACCAAATGAAATTTTACATAATGATGTACTACTAGTACTTTCTTAACATTGCTGATGATGGAGACTCAAGACAAAACAATCCATTCTTTAATATATCAATATTTTATTTCTCCTGTACAAAACAAAAGAAACTGAAGAGTGAAATTTTTCCATAAGATGATAAGAAATGTGAACCTGAGTGCAAAGTTCTGGTTTTTCTACAAGACTCAACAACACTGGCCTAATGTGATACTGTATTACTGTACCATAATCCTGCCAGGTGAACTCCTGTAGAGTCATCAGTAAATTACCCGATGTCTTTCTAGTCACTTTTACATACAAATCATCGAGAATCTCAAGTTGACACAAGCTGTGGCTATGGTTTACTGTTTATTGAGCACAAGTGTTTTTCTGTAGAAATAATTGATTTAACTTCTAACCCAACCTAAAGCTGAAAATCTCGCATAGAAACTGTTGATGGAGTACAAGTTTTGGTTTTCTGTCCCTTCCTATAAGCTTTAACTCTAATAAAGAATTAATTAACTCTTTCACTCCTAGAAAACTTGATTAGACTCATCTGGACGAGTCCATTATGGTCTACAGTGGTGAAAGGGTTAGATTAATGGGGCACAACTAGCACTGACAGTTGAAAATAAGACTCGCTCTTTGAAATCCCAGGTGACTGCAATCGGAACTCTCTAACACAGCACTCAGCAATGTATCTATGAACAAATGATAGCGAGCACTGTACGATGATATAGGACGGGGCAGTGATCAGATCTCCTTAATCACATCCTCAAGCTCTTCCTTAGTGAACATGTGGAATTTCTTCTGTGGTGTTACTGTGCCCATCTGTAAAGTGGAAAATGACCAAATGTAAACGTTAATCATGCTAGATTAAACACTTTATCTTGACAATCAATAACCAGTGAAAAGGACCATATACTTCTAGGCCATTTCAGTTACAATTTATAGTCTAATAAAGAAGCTGGAGACTTTGAGAGACGTTAAGATTGAACAACCTGAGGATTTGTTTTCCATTTACTAATGACTACATGTAATCAGAATCTAGGCTGCTTGGGGATGGGGGGTAATTTTCTGTTGATAACATGCCTTCCAACTTGATGTAGGTATGTATAATACGCATCCAATGACCACACATTGTCAAATATTTGAATGTTAAGAGCATTATGGTCAAGATAACCAGGTAATGTGGAACAACAAAGATCCATATACAGTCACAACTTATTAATCCAGTTGTACCACTATCCAGCCAGTGTTTCTAGCAAGAGATTTCTTTTTTTTTTGCATTAAAAATTATCTCATTAATCCAGTCCTTTCTAATTCCAGACAATTAGGTTAGGAGTGAAAGTGATTTGATAAGGCTTTTAAACTACTTCTACTACATTTGCTAAATGACCGGACAATTAACCCCTTCTTCTTACCAGCTTAAGTTACATTAAAACCTGAATTTAGAGGCCACCTGCTAGGCGATATTTTGGACAAATTGAGAGATCTGATACCGGTTCTATTAGTTCCCTGGTGCTATACTTACCTCTACGTTTGTTGAGTTGAGCTTTTCCTCCATAACCTGTTTGAGGATGGTCAAAGCATTTTTACAGGCCTCCTTCAAGGTCATGGACTGAAAAATAATAGCAAGTATCAAGTATTGTATACTATCATACATTATTTTAATAACAATACCTGATGGTTACGATATTTTGTTTTTATTGATGTATTTTTACCTTGTGGTGCACCATGTGTTACTGTTTACTTGAAAATTATATTTTACCTTGTGGTATACATCCTGAAGGGCCTGTTGTGCACCTTCTGACCCGGACCCGATGGCCTTGGCATCATACTGGATGAAGGTGCCAGAGGGGTCCATATGGAATCTAAACACACAAGTACATTATATAAATAGTTATAATACCATCCTGTTTTATCTAAAAAGACAAATCTTTCTCCCACTCGGAACCTTTTATCTGTTCCCTTGTATAGGACTCCTCAGTCTTCTCCCAATGAAGTAGAAAAGTTACAAACATTGAACCCGATATACAAGAAGGCACTATTATATAGTACTTGTAATAATCAAGAGAAACAGCAATAATGAGAAAGAAAGAGAATATCTAACTTTAAACAGAGACTGAAACTTACAATCCACTGGGTAAAGTCCTCAAATATTCAACCCTTAGCAGAGCCTCAGACTGGAAATTAAAGTTCTTACCCTTTAAATTTGAGATGAAAGTTTTCAGTCTCGCCCCAAAAGCGGGGAAAAGATTCGAAATCATGTTATCATATTGAGAAAGAGGAATAACAGTATCTACAGATACGTAGGTGACATGATGAACTAAGGTATTAAAACAAACTGTACATGGATATTGTGCCCAATGAGACCTACTATGACAAATATCAGTGCATACATTCTACTATGTTTATCCTTTATGGTAACAAAGTTTCAGATCCTTTAAAGCTTAAAATGTAATTAATACATGAATGTATGGCAACAATGATGACTTACAATTGTGGTCCCTTATGGTCAATTCCAGCAAACAATAATGCAACCCCAAAAGGACGACTCTGAAAGAATAAAACATCACCCTTACAGCAATGTATTAACTTACAGTAGGTCATTAATCTAGGACTGACATTAGGTACATAAATACCTCATCATAGTCAGTTTATACTCGCTGTCAAAATCTCTGCATTCTGGTTCACTTATAGACAGCACAAGAAAATAATTTGAAAATGTCACGATATATATATATATCAAACTCTCTGAAAATGTCATAACATGCAACCCCTGGATGGCATCAATTAGGAGTTGTCTACATACCATGGCTCCTGGGTCAGCGTCGTCGTCCCCAAACTGGAGTGCAAGGTTGCTGACAGCCTGGGTGACACTTTCCACAGACATCTTCTCATTGTAGGTGAACCAATGGTTCTGAAATACAAGGATATAAATCATAATGTTGCTGGTTCTCACAAACAAAGAATCCAGGGGCTTATTGTTCAACGCACTGCATGGCCCACGTACCCTTACAGCAGCAGACCACAACATCTGTTATCGGTATCAATAAGGAAGACAAACCACTGAGTTTCTGTTTATCTTTTTTGTAAAATATTACCAAGTTTTGTCATACTCAACAGGAGTTTAGTTTGTGAAGTATCTGTTGTACAAAAATGTCATACATATTCTGATGTTCATGTTTCGTTTGTTTAACTCTTTAAATAAATACTGTTGCCCTGTGCCCTGGTGTAATAATTCTGAATTTATAATATGTAATATTAACCTGTAAGTATGGCAATACAGTCACCTGTCTGCTAATATATTGCTATACAAGTTTAGTTGTATCATTACACAGCTATCAGTTACTGTTCTGAACAGTAATACATCCTGATGACAGACAGTAGTTTAAACACGCTGATTACTTACCTGAGCTTCTACCCTGGCTTTGTCAATCAGTGTACGGGAGTCGGCAATTAAACCACTCATTGCACAACCTACATTAGCAAAAACAAATCACAACCTACATTATCAAAAACAAATCATAACAAGAGTAGACAAACAATGTTGTTATCCATATCCTTTGCTTTGTAGACAAGTCACGATGAGACTTTTAGTTACAATGTATGTAGCATACTTTTTATTTAAGAAATAGGTACAGAGCACTCTAAATTCTAGAATGAATGTCAAATTCAGCATCTGTAACATTCATTTATAAAAGCATCCCTAGCTGCTTTACTGATGCAAGTTTAATCTATATAGTGCTTACAGTTACTCAGATATCGACAAGAAAAGTTCTTCTTAACCTGATAAAACTAGACCATGGTCATTTCATCTCAACTAAGTATCACAATCACTGAAGTGTCAAATGTAGCTAAATTCAGTATCACTGATAATCATAACACAAACATAAACATACCTATATGGTCATCTACCTCCATCACTTTTTCTATACTGGCAGTTTCAATTAATGGGGAGGTAACTCTCTTCTCTACTGCCAATACAACGCCTTCACTTGTCTGGATACCAATGGCGGTTGACCCCAACTGTAAACGGAAACACAAGTATTTATACAGTAATTAATATTAACTATGTATCTAACAGGGATAATTAATATATATTAATTATTGAAAGTCATCATGAAACTATTTGACTGCAACAACATTATGATTCAATAAATGTTTTCAGAAACAGGTTGATTTATCCTAGCTGTTAGCATAATCTCCACGTGTAATCCTCTAACACTGTTGAAGTATACTTTTGACAGGCGCCATGTGACAAAATCATATCCGATAGATAAAAAGCCGACCAGCAGCCTCTTATGTTATAGGAGTAGCTGTTAGCAGGGTTTCCTAATATTTGTTAAAATAGTTTATTTTGGATGTAAATTTAGGTACAAGTATAGAAAGTATATTAAAACATTACATCTTAAGTGAGTTATTAAAGACTTGTACATGCATTATTTAATACTAGTTTCTACCTTTATGGCTTCTATGGCATATTCCACCTGGAAGAGTCGCCCCTCTGGGGAAAATGTGTTGACTCCTCTGTCATACTCGGAACGTGTCAGGAACATGATGAAGAGCTCTGAAAAATTAATTACAGGGCAACAACTTTGAATTAAATATGAAGAGTATGTCCGACTTCTTGACTAGTACAGTATTTTACTGATCTAGCACAATCTGCAATTTTCCACATTATCAAATTGAACTTATTTATAAACAGGATATGATATACATGTATCAGTCACACTACACGTAGGATGTTGCTTACTTTATTGAATCTTTTTAACAATTTTGTCTTAATAGACATTAAGTTAAAGTAGGAACCAGAAATATGAGAAAAATCATAAACCAGAATTCCAGACGGACTTTGAGGAAGTTTGGGTTGAGATAATTTTGAACAAACGAAAATTATATTTGTGTTGTATGTATCCTCCCCCAGAATGTGATGTTACATATATAAATGAATTCCACAAATATATCGAAAAAGTGATCGATGCTATGGACGGACACAGTAATGTACTGATTTTCATCGATTTCAATCTACCCGATATTATGTGGACAAAGTCATCAACAGAACCTGATTTAGAGCCCCAGTATACCAAAGAAAACATCCATTCATAGTTCCTAGATTTTAAGTACACAATGGGTGAAACATTGACGAGTGAAAGTTGTATGAAAGACCTTGGCATATGAATGTCATATACCTTTAACTTTAATCTTCACGTTAAAAAGTTGTATGCAATGCAAACAATTGTACATGCATAAATTTTCCTGATACATCTGTCATCTGTTCTTTATATGTTAGTATGGTCAGAAGCAAACAAGAATATACCTGTGAAATATGGGGTCCCTATCAAACTTCTCTGGCGCATTAATTAGAAGCCGTTCAGAGAAAAATTCTTAAATGTTTATGCTTTAAAGCAAAGATTGACTATGATGTTTTATTTCAATTGTATTTAGATTATTTGTTCCTGTTTAAGTTTGTAAACAGTATGTTCGACTGTCCACATCTAATTGAACAAATCAATTTAATGGTTCCAAACAGGTCTCTTGCGTCCAGCTGTTTTTATCCCACCATGAGTTGTATTGATGTAAGGAAAAACAAGGTTTTAATTAGGTGTCAGAACAATTTTAGCTACTTCAATATTCAGTCAGACAGTCTTTTTTAGTTGATCACTAAAAACATTTAAAACAGAAATGAAACAAAAGTTTTTATTTTTTGATTCATTACACATTATGTATCATGTATGTATATTGTTTGATAATTTTACATTTGGTCTGTCATATTGTAATATGTAATTTATTGTGAACTGTTATTTGCTATCAGGACCTTAGGCCTGTTTGGATTGAAATAAATAAATAAAATTGACTAGTGTCAACAAATATCCTTAATGATGGACACTCCCTAGTTAAAAGGAATAACCCTGACAATCTGGAATGAAAACACATAAACTACATTAAAATACATACATGTACTAGTATACAGGTCCAGCACACTCTGCCAATTGAGCTTTATAGTTGTAAGCACTTATATATACATGTAGCTATATTCATCTATAATTATAGCTGTCTTGTGCTATATATTTTCTAAGATTTTATAAATGCCAAGTCGCATACAAATACAGGATTTTTGGTTATGTTCCATGATGTAACTGTTCCAGGAAAGAATGAGAATTTGTAGTTATCTGTTTTTGTGGTTAAGGGCCTGAAAGTATTGATGTTGTGTGTTCGCAAGTCAGACTTTGATGCATATTGATGTAGAGGAATGTCAACAAGGCCATTAAGATCCTTAAAGAACAAAAGGAGCCTGGATTTAGCACGTCTTTGTTCAAGCGTTTCCCAGCCCAGATTGGTCAGCATGCTAGTCAAAACACCAGGTTCCCTAGACTGGTATTTGTTAAACACAAATCGGGCAAGTTAGAAGTATATTTTTAGTTTTCATATATATTTTTCATCATTTTCTATCTTTTTTTTGGTTTCTTTTGTTATCAACATAGTTATAAAACCCTGTTTTAAATGTGACTTGTGTTCTTTTTTTTCTTTTGAAAAGAAAATTACTCAAAACACCTATTCCAGATAGCCACATGCCGGTGTTGATTGTGTGGTTATTTTAGGGGGAAAGTTTTTGGAGGAAACAGAGATGCACATCTGCAAAAGGATAATACATTTTACGTGCATATAGGAGATTTCTAAAAGAAAAATTAGCTATCTTGTTTACGGTACTAAGCATAATTTTGAAATGTGGTTTCTGATGCAAGAAAGTTAGGTAGGGTTGATTTTTTTCGACATCGAGAGCTTTCCTCCAGAGTCCATTCTTGTATATATCATCATTGGAAGTGTCATTTTTTACTGAAAGTTGATCTTAACCCTTAGACATGTAAAAAATTACTCTGAACACCTTAGGTTATGTCCAAATTATCAGGTCCCTGTGACGACAGGTGATATACATATCAGCCTAGCGATTGAACAGTTGTATTTTTTACCCAAGACCAATCAAAAGCTAGCTGCAAGCCTTCAATTTTGCCATTGAATATTCCAGGGGTGTAGAAAGCGAAAGAACAAGTGAGTGTACATAACCCCTGGAGTATCGAGCTCGAGGAAGCCATTGTCTTTTTTAGTTTTTACATTCGGGAGAAAATCGCTATAAGTAAGTGCATCTATATTCGTTCTAGAATATCTCCATATGGCGTGACATGTTTCGCCCCCTGAATCAAGGATTATTTCCCTCAAACGAGGGATAGGAGTGCCTAGTCCTTCTCAAAACTGACTGAACTGTTCAATACTACAGTACAGATCAACATTCATATTGCTTTATCAGGTCCAGTACACTGCCGATTGAGCTATATAGCTATAAAGACCTATATAGCTATATACACCTATACATTATAGCTGTATCGAGCTATATTTTCTCAGATTTCAAATTTCATTAAATTAAAGCAAAGTCGCATAAAACAATAAGGTTAATGGTAATGTTGACTACAAAAAGCATACAGTTAGGTGTTTATTTTCATTTTTCATAAATGTGAAATTTCCGATTTCTTTACATCATTTTTTTTTTTAAAGAATATTTATATTTAATGTCTTTTGTTATCAACCTAATGATAGAATCTTCTTTTAAATGCGACCTTGTTCCGTTTTCCTTAAAAAAGAAAATCGGCAGAGTGTACTGGACCTGTTTATGTTCAAACGCATATCCTTTCTTGTTTTACGTTATCGCATTCACACACTTTTGACCGCACATGAATTCTGCCTACTTATCAGTTTTCATTTCTTGGTAAGTTGCATTATAATGACTTACAAAGGCACTTAAATTGAGCCCAAATCTTACCTGAAATCACGAAGATGTAACAAACATGCCAGTCACCGGCTACTCTGACTCTCTGAAACGTTTGATAAGGTAGTAACTTCACCTAATTAGTTAAAGCGCTTGTGTGTCCGGTCTCTTTGGTTATTACATTATTAAAACCAAACACATATTCCGGAAATTTTATTTTTATGAAACATACCTTTTGATCACAGTTCTGTTAGAATCCTGTAACACCGTCAAATACTGTAACTTCACATTGGAAACGTTTTCCTGTAAGACTGCTCGTTACGGAACTTTCCAAAGACATTTAATTAAGGCTAATTTATTCATTTGTATTAAACCTTTACTTATTTTACAAATTTTTGAAATTTTTCCTGTATCGGCGGGAAAGGTCAAAGTTAAGTATACCAGAAACAGGTTTAAAGATGATGTATCGGAGAAAGGAAAAATAATCAATTTGATTGACTTGTCCGATAAATACCCCGATCCACCAGTCTACTGGGGAGAACTGAGGCATTCAAGTCATCTTGCAGAGTGAATGTGGATCCTGTAAATAGTTTTAACTTTTTAACCAGTTTTTAACGAACTCATGTGAAAGCCACGCCACACAAGTCTACCTGCAAGTTGATGCTGTTCGACGGCCCTTTGCAGTATAAATGTAAATGTAAACTGACACACCCATCTGCGACCCTCCAACAAATTGCACGATCGCTGATTTATTACGATGTAAGTGCCAAACATTGAAGATTTTCCCTAAAGAATAGATGTACCTGATTTCGTACTCGATGTTCGTATATTTTTTCAGTGTGGATACAGTGGCGGATCCAGAGGCAAAGCTGGGGGGGTTTCCAAAAGTTTTGGGGTGAGACATTTGCCGAGCGAAGCGAGGCAACCGACTGAGCGAAGCGAGGGAGTCTGCTAGGGGGGTCCGGGGGCATGCCCCCCCGGATTTTTTTTTATTCTTAAGTGTGAAATGGTGCTCTCTGGCCACTGAAAATCTGCCTTCACATTTTATTAAATTTGTCTGTTTTATATGAATTTTGCATCAAAATTGACAGTACCAAAATTACTTGAAGCATTCTGGAAGTTTATACAAAGATGCTACAGTAATAAAAATGACCTTTTTTATGTAAGTAATTAATGCTTATCTTAAGACTTTGTATAGCTTTAGTATATGCTTCAAGTTCTTAGTGGCTTCACATCAATTGTTCATGGAATCATCAAATAACAACCAAACTAGTAATTGACATTCAGAATGTTTTAATAAATCAAGGATGAATTCTAAAATGAAGAAAATGTACACATCCTTCTTTCACTCACACACACCCACTAACACCCACACACCAACATTCATTCATGTATCCTCAAACATTTTCACATATACACACTCTTAACACCAAATATAACAATATTATAAATACTCTATCATAAGACCTCAATAAATATTCTCACAAGATCTCATTTAATTACTTTCAGTCATTCTCACATCATCTCAATGTATAACATATACTCTCACACATGACATCAATAAATATTTAAACAAGACTTCAATAAATACTGTACACCAAAAAATAAATATTTTAACAAGACCTCAATAAATACTCTACACAAAACAATGAATATTTTAACAAGACCTCAATAAATACTGTACACAAAACAATGAATATTTTAACAAGACCTCAATAAATATCCTATCACAGGACATCAATAAACATTTTAACAAGACCTCAATAAATACTCTACACAAGAAACCAATTAATATTTTTAAAAGACCTCAATAAAAACACTACACAAGACAACAATAAATATATGTCCTCTCTACTTAAAACTCTGTTTATGTATTTAAACAAATCCCGGTCACTGCCATCACATACGCTGGTAGCTTCAACACTGGTAATACCAAAACCTGCAAATTAAAGACTGTACATTAGTTGAAGTAAATAGTATTTTAATTAATAAGTTTGCTAAAACATAAGATGGGGACATACAAATGTCTTTTTTACAACATGGGAAGACTTTTTTTAACACAAAATATATTCAGGATATATCATATAATTATTGCTAACATATATATGTTTATCCACATAATGGGCACATATACATCATCAAAACAACCTGAACCATTGACATTTATTTGTCTTACAATAACAATACATTTATACATGGCATTTATGCGACTTCTTATTTGATAAATCTATACTATAATACTAATTATATCATATCAACCGATGTGTTCTGATTAAATGGAAAGTGACTAATTATTAGAGCAATGTTGCATTTATCACTACATAGCATTTTCTGCTTTGTTTGGTTATTTATTGAAACATCTGTGTTTGTGCAACATAATCATATAAATTGGTTATGCTTTTAATTACCTGATGAGGCTGATGGGATATTGCTGACTTCTGTCGTGGTAATTATAGACCCAGGGCAGTTGAAGGAATCCAGCATACAAGCTGATTCTGGCTGACATGAGGAGGTGTCTGATGTGTCAATGTCTGGTGTTTCTGACGTACGCGACGTTCGACTTTCTTCGGGATGACATAAGGATGCTGTATGATCTGAAAGAATAATATATATGTATATAGTAACAATTAAGAAAACAGACTATTAAGCCTCTTTATTATAATATTTCAATCAATGTAATAACCAGTCTGCTGGTACACATCAGTAAGACATATATTACTGTAAGAACTGCAATATCATTATCAATTGGGGTGTTTTTTTTGCGGGGGGGGGATATTTTGTTGTTGTAAACAATATATGTTAGGATGTCCTGGAGAACTCTGTAGGTAGGGAATGACCAATCAATCAGTATGGATTTCAACAAATTTTATTGGACAAAAAAATGAAAAATTGGATGAGACAACAGGCTTAGCCTATATATAACATTTAGGGTTACTTTTTAATTCTAAAGGTACATGGGGGGGATCATATTCATGATATTTTTAATAAAGCTTGTATTAGACTAAACATATTGAGAATGCCTAAATATAAAATTGATAGAAAATCATTGGAAACATTATTCTATTCTTATATAAGACCTGTGCTTGAGTATGGTGATGTTATCTGGAATAACTGTACCATTGGAGAATTTAGTATGCTTGAATCTGTTCAAATTGAAGCTATGAAAATTATATCGGGGTTAAGAAGTGTGACATCTCATCGTAAACTTTACCTTGAGGTAAATATGGAAACTTTAAGCCTATATAAGTCTTCTCCGGTCATAAATTTAATACATAGCTCAACAAGACACACTCATATACACTTACAAACATATATAGGCTAGAACATTCAACCAAGTTACAAACATAAGAAAGAAAAAGTATGGATCTTGGTACACCTTTATGTGATGATATAAAAATTATTTGTTTTACTTCGCATACATTTTATCACTAAATAATTTTATTTTATTACATTTTACCAGTGAAATATATATAGTATAGAGAAATATCTATTCGATAAAAGTGTTATTTTTCATTTACTAGAGAAAGATAACATTTAAAAAAAAAAAAAAAAACAGGATACGAAGCCAGTGAATATAGATAAGGAAAAATTAAAACAAAAACAAAACAAATTAAATAAAAAAACACTTAAGACCCAAATAAAATAGGAAACAATAGTGAAGACTTGTTTCCTATTATGGCGGTGAATTATAACAAGATCACAATGTACTAAGTAGTGAATTCAAGCGTTTTAAATGAAACAATAGGCCTACCTATTCTGTATTGTATAATTTTTTTAAAGTAATGGACAGGTTCGAGCTCTAAATATACTTATATAGCGCCTTCTATATTCAGTCCAGCCAATAACGATTGAGTCAATACGCCACATTGGTGCCGTTGTGACCAATTAAATCTATAAATATGCATAATTTTTGGCAATAACTTTAAAAGAAATGTTTTTTTGTAATGATTTCGAGTACTTGTTTGTAAATATTCTTTATAAAACACGTCTAATCGGACGCCGATTATCCGAGTTGTTTACGGAGCTATCATAACTCGTTGCAACTTGCATCATCAATTTATCAATAAACAGCGACCTATTGTTATCGAAATAATGAACAATCTGTTAATGTGACGCATACAAGTGTTTATCCGAACACGAAAATAATCTAAAACATTAAATAGATCAGATAGAACACGGGTCAAAATGCATGATTTGTGAAGCCATACCTCGGCAGATTTGTACAAATCGTTACCTGATCACGCGCGCTTGCACATTTATATCAAGATACATGATTATGAAGATCTCATTTGACCTTACCTGTTTGTCTGAAAAAATTGGTGATCGCCGATACGCCTTTCGCATCTTTGCTGGAAAACTTCTGCCGACTACGTACCATTTTGCAAATAACAAAATCAAATATGGCGGTTCCCTGTTCAGTAAATGAAGAGTTTCTTTCGAAGGGCAATAACTCTTGATGCTGCCAGTGTTCTACTCCGGGACGGCAACATCGGTTGGCAAAAAAAAAAAAAATGCTAGGGGGGTTTCCGGAAACCCCCAAAAAAATCTTTGCAGTGGTACTCCGGTAGATCTACTGTCGGTTTACCACAGCAACAACCAAAAAAATTGAGAAAAAAAAATTGTTGGGATTTTTTTTTTTTTGTCTAAAAATGCTGGGGGGGTTTCCGGAAACCATGGAAACCCCCCTGGATCCGCCACTGGGATATATCGTAATAAAGAAATCGTAATCGTATCAAAGGACTCCTAATTGGCCGCCATGCAAGTTTTTGCTAGTTTCCACCATGACCTTTGACCATTCGGCAAACCTCGGCCGATTCCGGTACCTTTCATCTAAATCAAGTTTAAAAGAAACAGTTATTTCGGAATTAATAGGTTAAGCATCTGTTTCTTTAGAATATACCAATTAAAATAAACAAAAAAATCCACATTATAACTTACAGCAGATTGTTTTAACACCATAACCTTCTTATCGGGCCTTCAAAAGGCAAGACCGGTTTCAACAAACTTAATTCTTGACATCAATATATTATGTTTTTTTTTGGGAACTGCATGAACTTATTTCATAGTCAGAAATTAAACCGATCGATCTTTGATGTGAGAATCGAGTTCTGACATTAATTAAAAGAAAACAATTCTTTTCATCAGAAAATATGAGCTTTTTAATGCAATCAAGTAATTATTGGTTTATCCATCCTGGATTATTCATAGCGAGGAATATTGATATAATATCACGAGTTCTTTATCAAGATCTAGACCATTCTTGACGACAAGAATCGGAACAAGTGAATAAGAAGGCAGTAATTTTAAGTGCTCCATAGTACAGATAAATCATGATAGCGTAGGAATTTAATTGGTGCCACCTGTCAGTGGGCACGCAATATTTTCTATACCAGGGATTTTCCTTACATGCAATTGCTGCACGTGATCAGTGTATAATGGCAAATCGGCGAAAACAATGTACCAGTATAACGGACCCAAATGTGATATTTAGTTTATCGCTTTTCTTGATCGGGTGTTAGACGATTTCCCCAAAAACCGTAATTCCCCAAGCTGTTACGCCCCAAATTTGATTCATATCGCCCCAACCAGTTCGCCCAAAAAACCCATAACGCCCCAACTACATTCTAACATTCATGGAATTTCGCCCAAAAAACAACAACACCCCAAACGTCTTATACAGTACTTCATGATCACCAAGCCGCACCGAACCTTCGCCCATGCGACGAAGCATGGTATTTTAGTGAGGAAGCATTGTGAAGTCGGCATCAGGTCCGCGGATACCGCCTCCGACGCACGCGTATGTGTACAAACAAACAACTCTGAACATATAGTGGTTGATACAATGAGGAATTACAGGGACCCGATAACTTGTTACAGTTAAAATTTTTGGACCAAATGTCTATGATATATAGACATAGACGTTTTAAAGTTAAACCATATAAACCAAACGAAACACTATCTTAACTTATAGTCATCGTGACCTTTTCATGATATAGACATTTTAGGGGTCTTGATCAACTCTCGGAAAAAATGCATCCTACTAATGGTGGAAAACTCTCGATGTCGGAAAATAAACCCGACCTAACTTTTTCGCATCAAACATCACCTATCGTCATTGAGGGTGTTATTGTTACCGAGAGATTTTTTAAATCACTGAAACGTCTAATATTACTCTCCATACATCAGAATAGGTCCAAATATTCCAACTATAACAAATTATCGGGTCCTTGTGGTGAGAGGAACGTGCCGATGTGACATTGGAACATTTGATGCTCAGATGTAGAACAACTGACGTTTTGCGATTAATCAATGCTGTTTTCGGTATTCGTAAACACACCTTTCAGATAACATTATAAAGTCGGCATCAGTTCCGCGCTCTCACAAGGAGGCAAGTACACCAACATACCATGTCTCCTGCATACACACACGCAAGCACCCACACAGTTCACACATGGAGGCACGTCCTTAAATGACCTTTGCTGTTAATTAGACGTTAAACAAAATTAACCCAAAACCAATCATTCTGTCAAGTGTCAGTATGATGTGACCGGATGGACAACATCCTCGATACTCAAGGGCTGCATCCCTGGAATATGTCATGGCAAAACTGAAGGCACGAAGATAGCTGTTTGATTGGTATCAGGTAAAAAAACCCTGACCTATCGCTATCGGCATATGACTTCAAAGCCAGTCAATTTTACCGTAACGCGACTGCGAGATTCCTTTGATATTCATCAAAGGATCGAACTAGTCTTCTTCTCATCAACAAGGTGAGGCACACTTAGCCTTCGATTTTTTCATGATATATTCAAGGGGTGCAGAGAGCAAAAGTGATCGTAACCTATGGAGTATCGCGGATGGGCGGACTACTGTGCTGGGAGACTTCGGTATGGTATTTCAGTGAAGTAGCACCCTAAAGTCGGCATCAGATCAACATACATACCGCCTCCAATACAGACGTATGGCAAGCCAAATTGTCATTTATTCATGGAGTAATGTTGATCCAGTACTTAACCAAATTATATAAGATATCCTATTTAATTATATAAGATATCTTATATACTTTATAAGATATCTTATATAATAAATAAGATATATTATATAATAAATAAGATAGCTTATATACCTTTCTTTATAAGATATCTCATAAAAGATATCTCATAAAAGATATAAGATGTCTTATATGTAATATAAGATATCTCATAAAAGATATCTTATAATGAAAATAAAATGAGATATCTTATATTTTTTATAAAATATCATATATCATATATATAAGATATCTTATAAAGAAAATTAATTGAGATATTTTATATAAGATATCTTATAAAAGATATAAGATATCTCATAAACTTTAAATAAGATATCTTATATGATTATAAGATATCTTATATGTTTATAAAATATCTTGTATGTTTATNGTGTTTGCGCTTCTGCCTGAGGGCGATACCAAGACTGAATGTCCGGTTTGATGGCGAGACAGTGTCCGATCTACGAAAAAAGAACCAGGACGTGTACTTCTTGAAGAGGGAGGCTTGCGGATATATGCCAGACGACTGCTATAAGGATCCGTCTATGCTGAAACATCTGGCTAGATTTGCAATCAGAAAACGCCTACTTGAAAATGACCTGTTGCCGTCCGGGATAGACAAACTCCCAAAGTTAACTAAAGAACTCGTCCAGTACATGAATTTACTGTCCTAATTTTTCTACATTTTCGTCACCGATAAACACCCTTAGAGAATAACACATTTTGATGTAGATATATTTAAATATTCTAGGACATTTTAATTCATAAATTACTTACATATATGCATTTGATAAAATAAATATCATTGATATTTGTCATTTTCGTTTTGCTCCGTTTGTATTTACATGGTTGATTGTTACCGACTGTAAATAAAGTGTTTCGTTTGGTTTATCGGGTTTAGCTTTAAACATTTCATGACGTGTATACAGGTGTACATTTATGGCAAGTCAGGTTGTCATTTATTCATGGAGCAATGTTGATCCAGTACTTAACCAAATTATATAAGATATCTCATATATTATATAAGATATCTTATATATTATATAAGATATCTTATAAAAAATATAAGATATCTTATAAAGAAAAGTTTATGAGATATCTTATATCTTTTATAAGATATCTTATATCTTTTACAAGATATCTTATAAAGTATATAAGATATCTTATAAAGTATATAAGATATCTTATAAAAGATATAAGATATCTCATAAACTTAAAATAAGATATCTTATATGTTTATAAGATATCTTATATAATATATAAGATATCTCATATAATATATGAGATATCTTATATAATTTGGTTAAGTACTGGATCAACATTGCTCCATGAATAAATGACAACCTGACTTGCCATAAATGTACACCTGTATACACGTCATGAAATGTTTAAAGCTAAACCCGATAAACCAAACGAAACACTTTATTTACAGTCGGTAACAATCAACCATGTAAATACAAACGGAGCAAAACGAAAATGACAAATATCAATGATATTTATTTTATCAAATGCATATATGTAAGTAATTTATGAATTAAAATGTCCTAGAATATTTAAATATATCTACATCAAAATGTGTTATTCTCTAAGGGTGTTTATCGGTGACGAAAATGTAGAAAAATTAGGACAGTAAATTCATGTACTGGACGAGTTCTTTAGTTAACTTTGGGAGTTTGTCTATCCCGGACGGCAACAGGTCATTTTCAAGTAGGCGTTTTCTGATTGCAAATCTAGCCAGATGTTTCAGCATAGACGGATCCTTATAGCAGTCGTCTGGCATATATCCGCAAGCCTCCCTCTTCAAGAAGTACACGTCCTGGTTCTTTTTTCGTAGATCGGACACTGTCTCGCCATCAAACCGGACATTCAGTCTTGGTATCGCCCTCAGGCAGAAGCGCAAACACTCCTGTATAATGTTAATGGGGGCACTGATCTTAAGAGGTCCTGCTAGCGCTCCAACTACAAGCTGGTGACCCCCAAGAGTCTGTAGAAGTTGGTCCAAGGGGGCGCCTGTTGGTGAAGCGCCATGCTGGAGCAGAACCAACACTACTTTTGGCTTCAGATTCTCACACGCCAGGAACATGCATGTCTGACCGACAAAGTTTTCTGGAGGAGCGTTGGCGGACATTGACAGAGTAGGATGTCCTGTTGGTAAGTCAAAGTAATGTACCACATTTTTCTGCAAGAGTTCTTTGTAAACAATCCGTGACGGCCCCATGAGTACGCTGTCGCCAAGATTCTCCTTCGTCAACGTTACTCTGAAGCCCGCACAGTGACCAATAACATACATTGACTTTGCAACTGCATCATTTGCCGCAGATGGGTCCTCGTAATGTAAGAGATCTCTCATAAAGAGACCCAAATCTATCCCATGGCTAAACTTCAACATCTCAGTTAATATGCCTCGGAGCAATACCTTATCCATTGACTTGTACTGGTAACATAAGCCAAGGGCGAGATGGAGACCCAACCATGATAGCTGGATCTTTTCGGGTTTACTCTTGTTCTTCCGAGTAAACAAAATTATATCCTGAACAGCTTTTTGCAATGTTACCTCATTTTTGTCAATTCTATCACAATATTTATATCCAACAAGTTCACATCTTCCTTCTTGTGTGCTGAATCCTCCTTGAGTTAGTTCCAGTAACTCTCCGAATGAGTTTATTTCAGGCTTAAAACACGGACAACAACTCATTGCTTCAAATTCGTTATAGAACCTTCACGATCGGAAAGTTCGCAGCATACATGTAGCGTGTCTAGAATGAAACGACGGAAGTTGACGGCGTTGCTACACAACGGTGTATATGACGTCATAAATAGATGACATATTGACAATTGGGTCGATATCGTTTCCGGCCTGGTCAAAGGCGCTCAGTTGTTTTGCTGTGTTTTAACAGAGACTTTCAATTAAATACAATGCCATGGTTTTAACAATTTAAGATTTAACAGGTCATACGTACGTTATTTCCCAAACGGCCACCGTAGATGTTATAGTCTGGATGAACAGGAAGCGCTTTATTCATCGATAGACTTCAGTTAAAAACTCAGTGTTCAAAACTAATATTGGTCTACATAAGTTACAGTTATCAAAGTTGAGGTATGAAAGAGAGAGGAATGGGACTATATGAAACAGATAAACGCAAACTGCAATCTGATTAAAATCATATGTACATGGCTTCGTTAACTTCGTACTACGCCAGGCGGAGCCATGTAACAGATGATTTTAATCAAATTGCGCAAACTGATGTTATGAAACAAATTCAGTCATTCTTTTTGAAGACGTATGATATAAGGTATGTAAAACCCTATCATAATCGAAAAAACTTTGTAGCTATGATACATTTTTAAATAATTTTCTACAAGTGAGACGTAATTTTTATCACCAAATGGTAGCAGCGTTTTAGTAAGATCATATGTTATTGGAATGAAAAATATTACTGATAATGAGGTCATCATAGAGGCTACATCTCAATAGGAAGTGGAAATTGGTTTCATTTCTCTAGCAAGATGTATATAGATCTGAACGCTACCAATCGATTCCATCTAGTAAAGATACTTACTCAGCGAGCTACATTCCATTCTGAGCCTAGTATGGTGAATCTGAACATATGGTGACGCATGAATAGATTGTCCGTGTAAGATCTTTGTTAGTTTGTGCAACGACGGTTCCAATTTCAACATTTTACTTTTTGAGACGAATTGAACGAAGCGCCACAAAAAGGTGTCATGTACAGCAGTATGGTAAATACCGTCATTTCTACCTGAGAGGTGTTTACGAATCTTTGGATAGTTAAAGGTTTTCCACCCTATACAACCCTATACAATCGTTACATCTAAAATAATTGCTTGTGAGTTACTATCAGAATATTATATACGACGTCGACCAAAACGAGAAGTGATTGCATATTTGACTGTCAGGATCATTCATATGTCTTTAATTTTCCAACATGAATCAGTAGTTCAACCGTTTGAGGACGGTCAGGAGTAAAATAAACCATTTAACAAAAAAAAAATGTCAAGTAGATTTAAAAGAACATTTTTTGAAGCTGTAATCTCTTAATTTGTTATTATTCAAGGGTACATATGTCGCAGATCGAAAATAAATCAATCGAGTATGACCTACATTACAGACTTATATATAGCAATCTATATTCATAAGATTGAGTAAATATCATTATAGGATAATGGCTACAATGATGTAAAATATTAATTAGTTATTTTCTGTCTTAATTGTTTCTGTCGACCCTATATATAATAATTCCGTGACAGGTTTTATTAAGTTAAACAGCCTTTACATCCGCCATAATGTGATGGAATGTTTGTGCCCATATGTGTTCCCTATAAAACCAGTGCGAATGTACTCAACAAGCTAAGCTAAAATGCTTTTGAAAGAATAAAAAATAAACCCCACTTTTAATTTATATATATTTCAATCCTTGAAAACGTTGGCGATGATTTTCCCTTATAAATTGTTTTTATATTATTTATATGTAAACATAAAATCCTCTTGAAGGGTACACTTTAAAGCGCTCGGGACTGCAATTTTCGAAAATTTGCTACAAATACTTTTACTTGAGTTACATAAAAAAATGTGTCGTGTGTCAAATCACGGGATTCCTTGTCAAAACATTCAGTTTATGCGATAGTGGTTTGACCACGGAATTAGATTAGAGGGTGTTATCTAAGTCCGTGGTTAAAGTTAAGTTTCCAACACAGGAGCCGATAGAGCTCCTCTATCCTGGACTAAAAAAACCAACAATTTTATAATATAAAGTTAAAGTTCATAAAGTAAAAAGGCCTAGATTGAACTGTCGTTCTTCACCTCCTCTCTTACCTTGTGTATATATATATGTTGACCTTTGAACTGTTAGGGTTATCAGAACGAGGCTCAAAAAGTTGGTAACGTGTTGGAAATTCCCTAAATTTCCCGTGTGTTCAGCAGAGTGGTTTTGTTTACATATCTATACGCATCGTTAGTGTTTTATATCAGTAGTTTTGCCAAGAAAGAAAAGAGAACAAGTTTATAGTAAGTATCAACGTTATTCCAAGGAAAAATGAGTTTTCAAATTTGTCTAAATATATTGATAATGATCAATAATATGACGCATGACGACGCGTTATTCAGGTACGGAATACAGCCTTATGTGGGGGTCAAAACAACATAACGTTACGTTGTATGATTAGAACATGTATTGTAAAACATCTGAAGATGTTGGGCATTCACGCAATAACGTGTTTGTTATAGGTTCACTGAATGCGGTTGTGTCTGGAGACCGAATATAAATAACACCCCCTCGTGGCTCGACCCAAATCAAATGGCATTGTCTCACAGTATCATCGTACATGCATAACAATGTTCTATATTTTATATAGGTCCCTACTGCAGTTTTGCCATTCAGACCTGGGTGTCGTGGCAAGATGAGGAAGATCAGGCTGTCGGATACCGACATTGAATTCTTTGATTTGGAGGTTTCCCCGGCTGAGTTCTTGTTCTTTCAGAAGCACAAAGACGCCTTCAGATGCATGTGGAAGGAACAGGTACGCATTGGATGAGAGATATGGACATTACGAATACTAAAATGTCATTTCCACTTAGAGAATTCAGTCCATGACTAGATGCCCTTTCTAGTAAATTCTACACATGTAACAGGAAAGAGCTTGAGAGTACTAGCTAGTGCTTCCGCCTGGTATGTCAAACCAGCGACCCCAGCTGCCCTGCCTCTCTACCAATCCGGAAATTCCACAACCCTATGTACAATTTAATCCTGCTATACTCCTCCATTTTAAAATGTCTTTGCCTACAAACGCCAACATTTGTACAACCCTAACTTCTGTCGCCTGACAGGGAGGGTGCCAGACACCATTTGTAACAGGAAAGAGAGAAGCATGGATTATATAGATAGAACAAGTCTCCTTTGCTCTACTGATTGAGCATCAGAGATTTCCCTCTACGTGAATGATGAAGCTTGAAGGTGACTGATATCCTAGGCCTTCCTTAAAAAAGTATTTGTTTGCAGTTTCTCGTCCGACTCACTAAAAATGGCAACTATAATCAATATGTTTTGGGGAACTTTTGGTAATCAATTTTTCTTGCCAAAAATCACTGAACCAATTAGGATTTTTTATATAAAATATGATATCTTCAAAAATTAAACAAATATTCTTACCTACCTATAGATACTTACTGATATAAATGTGATGAGGGAAACTGCAAAGAAACAAATTTTAGCTATTTCATACGTGCGTAGATTTGTTCATACCCGTGCAGAAGGAAATTATCAGGAAGATATGTTTACAAAATAATTTCAGTGTTTGTATAGATCTGCTTCATCAAAATCAACTCTCATACATTCTCAAATAATAACAAAATTGTTGGTATAGAATGTTATTATTTACTATTAGGCATAATGCAGGAAACACTCAAAAATATAAATTATCTTCACATTAATATTTGAGTGTTTTCAGATCAGACCCTTCCTTTGATAAACAGACCTTTTAAAACCTCACAGCTTGTTTTTTCGAAACTACAACTAAACATATTTTCATCTGTTGCTCCTGGAGTGTATGTATCTAAGCAGGTCATTAGTGGAACATAAGAACCAGTTTTTATTTCTCGCTGATATGATTTTTTTAAGCCACGTTGAAGACATTCTAATTTTTTAACAATCTTTTTTTTTGCTTTGAATGTAAGAATTGTTAATAATAGATATTTTCCTGTATTTGTTTTCACAGGGGAAGCCATTTTGGACAAAGTTTACAATAACTTTCCGCAGTTTTACAGTCAAACATGGAGTCATCAAACATATGTCATGTGACACGCCAAAGTTTGAAAACCTTTTGGACCAAGCTTTTATTTACATACATGAACAGTTTGTAGATGGTAGGTTGAACAAATTATAATAATAATAATTCAAGGTTCTTATGTCCCGCTTCATCACAACCTAATTAGTAGGTCGTCTCAAAGCGGTTCACAAATTATCCGTGGTTATAGGGCATTTGCATCCAGCCAATATCTTTCTCAATTCCCTGGCGAGCATACAGCCGGTGCTGCCATTTCGGCGCTCACAGCTAGCATTCAGCAAATCTAGCACTGCCCAACCACATACTCATTTACATCTGAGTAGACTGGAACAAGCGGAGTAAAGTGTCTTGCTCAAAGATACAACACAGTGCTGTGCTGCGACTCGTACCCGCAACCCTTCGGTCACGAGCCCGGTATCCTATCACTAGACTACCGTGCCTCCTAAAAATGATAAAAATGCAGCTCCACTCAATCAAACAAGCACAGTATTTGTTTTTTCTACAGTATTTTCTACTTTTATCTCGCCTGGCACAAAGTAGCTATGAGCTTACATGATGGTGCAGTTCCTCCCCGATGTACGGGGGGTACAATTTCATCTTTAGAGTAGCGCACACTATTTATCGCAGAGTATTTTGTCGTGCACACACAGGGCATTATGTAATGTTGTGCGATCCCATAACTAAATTATCAATGTTCTATTTTAGGCCTAATTCAATTTAGGTAGTAAAATTAGGGTCATATTTATAAATGTAGTTGTGCTCCAGAATGCACATGTCATGCAACTGGTTTTAAGATGAGAATATGCGTTTATATTTATAACAAAATATAAGGAAGGTTCGGGTTGCATATTAGTAAAGTTGTACTACAAAGTATTGATTAAGGTCTATATGTTATATACTGACTGAATGGTATTACAGGTACAAAGTTTGGAGTTTGTGGTCTGTATATAATTGTTAAAAACTATGATCCTTTGATGTGAATTTAATTTGATAATTACAATTTTAGTACCTAGAACATACTATAAAGTGACAACTTTCTGAAAATGTTATAACAAAGTATATTAGATAATCTTATCTATATCATTTCCCAAGCAATTCTCAAAAGGCTTTATAATGTAATATTAACAGTACATTTATTTCTTATATGACGATCAACTTCCAATTCTATTTTGTAGGAAAAGAAGCAATGGCGCGGGGATTTATAGATGAGTGTGCCAGACTGGCTCAAAATCATGATAAATTTCCTCACCTTGACTCCAAATCATTCAGTAAGTTCATTAACTGTGATATTATATGACTTTTGTTTGATGAACAGTAAACAAACAAATGACGTAAAAGCTGTAAACATTTGGAATTTTCCACCAGGTTGTTATGATGTTATATTCATGTTATTTTTATTTTACAGCCAAAGACCCTTTCTATTCAAGAGATACAAGGTATGTACAATTTTTACATTACTTTTATATTTATCAGTCTTGGAACAGATTTGTATGGAAGGAATTAATCACACTGATTTTGCTTTAACATGTAACATATATTTGTGTGGCTTGAACTATTTCAATTACTCACAAAATTTATGAAGTATTCATTTCTGATGTCCATGGTTTGGTAATATTTTCAAAGTTCAGTTAAACATATGTTTGTTTTTACTTGATGTATGGAATTTAAACTCAAGTAATAAAACATAGATTTGAGGTAATATTTATATGTCTTTTTCAAGTGTCAAAATACTGTTGATCAGATTTTACTATGTGCAAATCAAGCAAAGACATTTTCACTTTTGTGTACAATGTATATATAATTTTGCCAATGAATATGAAGACAAAATTAAATTTGGTTAAGATACAATGCAAGGGGATTACTTCAGTATGTGATCAGTTTGTTTTAAAGATCCAAAGGCAAAATTCATTTAATAGATGGAAGTTGTGGTTATTTAACACCAGAGTTTTATAACTGTGATCTTTAATTTACTGTTGTTCTTATGTATAACTATATTTCTATCTTGTAATTGATAAGCCTGGTGGGTTGATGCATGATGTCCGGCTCAAAGTGTAGAGGAGTAGGATTATTAAAAGACCATGCAATTCTGTAGCATTTGTTAGTATTTTTACTTGACTGTAACAGTAACTGTCATCTCATGTTTACAGAGACCTGTTCAGACGTTTTTTTGGTTCCCCTGACCAGAAGAGTTCATATGTCAAGGTAAATGAGGATTTTCTACCCACGTGTAATTATTGTACAGTATCTCGCACAGAGAGTATTATTATATGGAGTGACTACTGGTAAAATGTTAGGTACACTTGCTGCAAGAATTTATCTGGGGCAGCTCCTATTATATTGCAGGTACACTTGCTATTTATCTTCTGTAAATACATGTACTCCTTGAAATATCTTATCATAAACAGGTTTATTGGACAGAAAAAATTCAGTATTATATATGTATGCAGTGGGACCCTGGTAATATGAGGTCTGTGTAGGGTTACATAGTTTTTGAGTTATACATGTGTAAATATGATGTCATCAAAATATGTATGTTACATATATTCATATTATTCGTACATGTATAATATTGGATTTATATATTATTAAATGCAAAATTTCTGATTTGGCAGATTTTCAGGTAGTCTTATAAAAGAAGTATTAATGTAAAATGTATGATGTTGAAATAACTTCTATTATATATATATACAATATTAACCTGAGATTTAATTAACTATTAAAGAAACTTTATACAGCTTATTTTTAAAGTATATTGTTAATTTCAAATTACAATGTAACATCCAAATTAAAGAACATGGTTAAAACAAATTACCCAGGTATCCTTTGTAAAAAACATATTGTAAAAAACATATCTTAAAGTCTGATATTAAGCCAAAATAATGCTCGAAATATGAATAATTTCTGTTACAGTTATTGGGTACTTGTACATGTATATAAACATATCTGCTGTAATACAGGTGTATGTTCTGAGCCCCATTTACCTACGATTTGGAGGGTCTGTCTGCCGCTGTTTAAAAAAATGGATGGACGCACCATCACAGGATTGCAAAGACGACTCGTACTGGATTCCGCCATCACCCCAACATCAAATAGAGGAAGAAAGTACAACAAAAGCACCAGTGCTCATGTGTACAAACTGTCTTGACGACTGTGGCACACGCTACTTTAAAGAGCGTATATGTGGCCAGCAAAATGGACCTAAATTTCTAGATTACTGGAAGCTAGGCGACCCTCGATTTAATGACCCTGATAACCCATTGTACAATAAAAAGGCCGATCGCGACAGTGATTGGCGAGACCGACTCTCCCCTGAAGACTTTAGAGATTTTACTCATTTTGCAAAATTTAAATATGGTACTGAGGAGGAAAAATGCAAAGACTGTTTGTCTCTGGTAGATAAAGATGACGGGTATGTTACCAATGTCAACCAAAAAAAGGATAATGACAAAAAAAAGAAAAAGAAAAAGAAGAAAAAAGATAAGGAAGAGATAGCAAAGGAAAAACGTAAAGATGAGGTAGAAGAAGAGGTCCAGAGGATAATTGATCACATAACAGGGAAAAAAACCCAGCAGGACATGCCACCAGTTCTCAGGGTGCGTACTGACACTGCTATCATCCAAGCAGACCCTTCCGACAGCCAAGCAGATACTAACTCCGGAAGCCCTGATAAGAAAAACTCTCCAGGGCCTGCCTTCCACAACATTGCCAAGAACAAGAAAATACTGTTCGGTAGCAATGCCAAGCGTTCCGATGACATCAAATTCGGGATCCTAGGCAATGATGACTTTTCTAAAGGAAATGTGGTGGGTGGTTTTAGAGTGTTTAAACTGGAGGACGAGAGGAGCGGTGCTAAGGAAATCACTATATCGGTCAACGCTGTCAATGTAAGTGGGCATCCTGATATAATGTAGTCTTTTGATTTCTATGAAAAAGTCAGTAAGCAGTTTGTGAATTATATATCAAAACAGTGTTGTCATCCCGATTTCATTCATTACATTTCATAATGGTACAATTTATGGCTAGCCAGCAATATCTATACATGTACATCTCTTTATGGACATTTTTTTGTCAATGTGGTTTTGATGTTGCAATATCTGGGGATCCCAATGTAAGAGGTGCCCCCAGAAGCTGTAGAATTTTAACCTGTTCACCCCTGAAATTTCATAATGGACTATTCCAACCAAAAGTGTCTTCAGGGGTGAATGAACTATTGTGATTGGTCAGAAGAAAAGGTCAGCTGCCAAAAGATATTATCTCGAAAATATCTCGGAGGTTGGGGGGGGGGGGGGGGAGGAGAACAACCCGAGCCCACCTCCACCCCAACCCTGCAGGCTGCAGCCCTAGAAACACTGAAACCTGACAAGTTTAGTTTAAATTACAGATGCATTGTAATGCAATATGCTTAAGATTTGGTGATTTCACTTGAAAATATACTGCTATGTTATTTCTATGAAGATATCACCTGAAACATGAATTATTTTTGTTGGTGCTCATGGTTAGGTAGTGTATAAATGGAATAGCCCGATACAGTACTATACTTTTTGTACATCAAATTGGAAATTTGGTAATATGTTGTAGACTGTTGATTAGAACAAGGGTTTGCAAACTGAGAGGAAACTTTTTGGAAATAATGAATGTCACAAAACCAAGAGACCTCTGTTTTGGTACATATAAATAAAGGTTGAAGTTTCATGTTAAGGGAGAACTAAATGTAAGTATAAATATGTCATAATTAGGGGTTTCCTGATGGAGATACGAAAGATGCTGCGAAGATGGAGGCATCTGATGGTAGTGGTAACACCAATAGGTTATCTGTTGAGCTGATCAAGAGCAAGATTGAAAACCTACCAGACAAAATGGAATGGTGGGAAGGTGTCGGCTGGTGTGCCTGTGTCATCAACTACGAGGTGGAAGAGAAGGATGTCTGCCCAAACAATTACACTAACTTTACCATCAAGATTACAGGCAGGAAGGAGATGGCCATCAAACGAGTCATGTTCAAATGTATGTTATTTTTTTTCTCAACTCTATGCTATTATGCTGTACTAATGTGTGTGTACTTTGTATATACTACTCATCTTTTTCGAACATTTGACACAGACAACAGCCAGTACTGTCAATACAGAACTAAATCCTGAACAGTGGAGCTGGATCAGCTGATACTGGCCCAGGCTAGTCGCTAACTTACTCAGCAGAAATATGATAAAGGAGTTACTATAAGTATTCAACAAGTTACAAATTTCTGGCATCACAAGCAACTGTAAGGAGGTTCTGATGGGATTTTTCGTTTGTGAACGTAAAATACAAAGGAAAAAGACCAAATTTAAATTCCGGCAAATATTTCTCTGTATGTATACAGTGAAGTCAAAATCAGATGAACATGTGTGGTGTTGCTTTCATTACCTTGTTCTTCATATTCCCCACTATTTTACCTTTGATTGTACTTTTTCAGTGCTGATCTATGTGAGTAACAGAAAGAAGCGTCTGAGTCCTGGCTGGACCATGGATGACGATGATGTTGTGGCCAGCGTGCTTCCTGAGGAGATCCCAGAGGAGGAGTGCATTGTCATTACACTGCAGCAGGGCTTCAGGTTTGAGGAGAGGCTGTCGGATGAGGAACGCAAAACAATGAGTAGGGTATGTAAAGTAATTATATAAAACTTGTATACCTTGTGTAAACCAAGGTCTGACATATACTACTCCCATGATCTCAGTTGGATCATAAAAAATATAACTGAAGTTTGATACACATGGTGTTATCATCCTGAAAAAGTAAGTTCTGCTGTATTATAAAGTCTGGGGATATACTGAAGTCACGCCTGTCTGTAGATGCAATTTTGTCCACACTAAGGTTAAATATAATTTTGCAGACATAGTGGCCATATTTAAAACATATTTCTATCTTTTTAGCCCACCATCATCTGATGGTGGGCTATTCAAATCGCCCTGCGTCCATGGTCCATCCGTCCGTCTGTCCATCGTCCGTCCTTAAACAATTCTTGTTATCGCTGTTTCTCAAGAAGTACCAGAGGGATCTTTCTTACATTTTATATGTAGGTTCCCATTGGTCCCTCATTGTGAAGGTTAACTTTTGGGACTGATCGGATAAATAAAATGGCCGACAGGCAACCATCTTGGATTTTGACAGTGAAGGTTTGTTATGGCTATTTCTCAGGAAGTACTGGAGAGATCCATCTCAAATTATATATGTAGGGTCCCATTGGTCTATATAGTTTTTCATGTTCATTTTGAGAATGATCAGATAAACAAAATAGCCGACAGGCTACCATTTTGGATTATGACAGTAAAGGAACAGGAGGGATCTTTCCTAAGTTTGTTATGTAGGCTCCCCTAGGTCTGTAGTTGGTCATGTTTACTTTTGAGACTGATCAGATAATCAAAATGGCCGAGAGGCCACCATCTTGGAATGTGACATTAAAGGTTTGTTATCGCTATTTCTCTGGAAGTGCCAGAGGGATCTTTCCCAAATTTGTTATATAGGCTCCCATGGGTCTGTAGTTGTTCATGTTTACTTTTGAGACTGATCAGATAAATAAAATGGCCGAAAGGCAGCCATCTTGGATTTTGAAACTGAATGTTTGTTATCGCTTTTCTCAATAAGAGGTGCAGAGATCTTTCTCAAATCTTATATGTAGGTTCCCCTAGGTCTTTATAGTTTTGCATATTTACTTTTGAGACTGATCAGATAAACAAAATGGCAGACAGGCAGCCATCTTGGATTTTCACAGTAAAGGTTTGTTAGTGCTATTTCCCAGGAAGTACTGGAGGGTTCTTTCTCAAATTCTATATGCTGATTCCCCACTATCCTTTATTGTTCATGTTTACTTTTGAAACTGATCAGATAAACAAAATGGCCGACTGACAGCCATCTTCGATTTTCAACATTGAAGTTTGTTAGTACTTTTTCTCAAGAATAACTTGAGGGATCTTTCTCAAATTTGATATGTAGGTTTCGCTTGATCCCTTGTTGTGCATGTTATATTTTGAGACTGATCATAAAAACAAAATGGCTAAAGGAAGAACTAAACATATCTTTCTCATATTGCAATGATCAATTCTATTTCTTTCACATTAAGTGCTGTACAAGTAAATATATTAAATGACTAACTCACTTTGAAGGTTGTCTTTTATACACATCAGTATTAAGTTTAGATCAAAAGTTACCTCAAGGTGCATTTACTGGTAACATGACTCGATCAAACAGGTTAGAGAAAAGATCGAACTGACAAAGAACTAATGAAGATGGTACAATGGTGGGCGCCCAGATCCCTCTGGGATCCCTTGTTTCTTTTCAAGATCAATCTAGATCTGTTCAATAAGTTGAAATTCAGTAGTATTTGATCTGGAACGAAAACAAAACCAACAAAGTACATTGTGCATCCTGCTTGTGGAGTAACTTGAGTAATTTAAAGAAGTGTTTGGCCCTCAGGAATCTGACTGATAGAAAAGCTTGATTTTGATCCCAAATCCAGGATTTCAGCTGACAAATATTTTTCGGTTGATAAACATTGCACTCATAAAATGTGTTTTAGTACTTTGTAGTTTAATGACCGTGGCCTTTTGTTTGATGATTATACATATTTGTATAGCTGAGGGAAATTTCCAGTCTCTATGTATTATCTTGATTTTGATTGTATGTTCACATTCCATTCTATAAAATTCTATGCGGCTGCGGTGGCCAAGTGGTTAAGGCGTCTGACATTCTGCTACCACTAGCGCTCCACCACTGGGTCATGGGTTCGAGGCCTATACGTTGGGCAGTTGAAAGTTACTGGCCGTCGGTCGGTGTTTTTTCTCTGGGAACTCCAGCTTTCCTCCACCACCAAAACGGCACGTCCTTAAATGACCATAGCTGTTAAAAGGACGTAAAACATAAACAAACCAAAACCAAATCCATTCTATAGATACTGTGTACTTGAACATATTTTTAGGGCCGGTCAAGTGTTTTCCGGAACGACAACAATGGGGAAGGGCCGATGTGTTTCTACGTGCAACCAAAAGGAATGAAAGATAAAGAGCAGGTGCTGATGGCCCTGGATGGTGGAGTGGCTAACGCTGTTGCTAAGGTATATTGAGTTCTCTGTTAGATCATTTTCTAAAGACCAGAGGTTAAACAAGTGTTCATTGTTTCTCATGTGTTGTAAATGTAAAGTTGTGCAGTAAATTTGACTTTCAGTAATATCAAGATTGCTTTAGGCGATGTTGGGATTATAAAATAAAGTATTTAAAAGTTTTCCTCACTTCAAATTAAGTCTTTGACAGACTGTTATAATTCAATGTAGTTACATTTGGATTTAGTATGGTTTTTATATGCTACCTCAACATGTTGTGTATAATGCATAAGGTAGAATCTAAATGTAATTAGATGTAATCTAAACATAATCAGCAGACATGCTCCAGAGAACAAGAAGAGAACTACAGTTTCTTGGAGAGGAATTTATAAAACAATACTTATTTTTCTCTCACTCCAGTGGCTGTCATCTGTTTATGATGAATACTTGCTACAAGTATGATTTTGTGCTTTACAGGGAGATCAAGGACCAATGAATTTTAAAAAGTTGCTGACAAGAATCAGTGGGCATTGTATTGTAAGTATATAAAAATTAGAATAAGTGTTCTATTAAAAGATCACAGAAAAAAAGGCTTGCATGCTTATACGCATGTTCATCGTATTACATAAAGATTAAATCATTTTATGCTTTAGGTATTGATAAGTTTTGATCTCTTTGATAACGTCCATTTTCCTTAGTAATATTCTTATGTTATGCCATGTCTACAAACTAGATTTCCATTTTCAGGATGACAAAGTTGGATATGGTACCCCAAATTATCCTCAGAAAACAAAGTCCAAGGACCCATCTTTTTGTGATTTACCTGTAAGTAAAACCAATAAATGATATTGATTTGAAATATAGTGAAAGAAATGTATAAAATAGAATTTGCGATTTTATTCATAGATTATAACATATCTTTAAGGCCAAGATTATAACATATCGTTAAGGCCAGCGTCACTCATAAGATAGGTAACATCTCTCCTCAAGTGTAAGGGGTTTAATTTCTATGGATGTGTTTTATTTACACAATGTTTTGATACTCTTGCTTCAAAAGGGACTCAATCATTATGTATTAGTTCTTGTTTGTATAACATTTTGGTTCTCTGTTGCAGGACCCGTATGACTTTGAGATCAATAAAACTCCAATGTGGGACCAGATACTACTGAGCCCCAGGACCTTCGAGCTTTTGTTCATGGTGAACAAGGACAGAGGTGAGTTGTCAATGGTTTATATATGGATACGATGCCCATACGTATACACTGTTTGTATGTCCTAAACAACTGTTTGTGTGTCCTAAACAACTGTTTGTGTGTCCTTGACAACATCATTGCCCTACTTACTTCATTTCTTATTTGTTGGTCATGAAACTTCATATGTGTTCACAAACATCATTTGAACATGTCATTGTTAACATCATTTGTCGTGTCAGTGATAACATCATTTGTACATGTCAGTGTTAACATCATTTGTACATGCCAGTGTTAACATTATTTGTACTGTATGTCAGTGTTACATTATTTGTACTGTATGTCAGTGTTAACATCATTTGTACATGTCAGTGATAACATCATTTGTACATGTCAGTGTTTACATCATTTGTACATGCCAGTGTTAACATCATTTGTACATGCCAGTGTTAACATCTTTTGTACATGTCAGTGTTGACATCATCTGTACATGTCAGTGTTACCATTTGTACATGTCATTGTTAACATCATTTGTCGTGTCAGTGATAACGTCATTTGTACATGTCAGTGTTAACATCATTTGTACACATCAGTGTTAACATGATTTGTACATGTCAGTGATAACATCATTTGTACATGTCAGCGTTAACATCATTTGTACATGCCAGTGTTAACATCTTTTGTACATGTCAGTGTTGACATCATCTGTACATGCCAGTGTTAACATTTGTACATGTCATTGTTAACATCATTTGTCGTGTCAGTGATAACGTCATTTGTACATGTCAGTGTTAACATCATTTGTACACATCAGTGTTAACATGATTTGTACATGTCAGTGATAACATCATTTGTACATGCCAGTGTTAACATCATTTGTACATGTCAGTGATAACATCATTTGTACATGTCAGCGTTAACATCATTTGTACATGCCAGTGTTAACATTATTTGTACTGTATGTCAGTGTTAACATCATTTGTACATGTCAGTGATAACATCATTTCTACATGTCAGTGTTAACATCATTTGTACATGTCAGTTTTAACATCATTTGTACATGTCAGTGATAACATCATTTGTACATGTCAGTGTTAACATCATGTGTACATGTCAGTGTTAACATCATTTGTACATGACAGTGTTAACATCATTTGTACATGTCAGTGTTAACATGATTTGTACATGTCAGTGTTAACATCGTTTGTACATGTCAGTGTTAACATTATTTGTACTGTATGTCAGTGTTAACATTATTTGTACTGTATGTCAGTGTTAACATCATTTGTACATGTCAGTGTTAACATCATCTGTACATGTCAGTGTTAACATCATCTGTACATGTCATTGTTAACATCATTTGTACATGTCAGTGTTAACTGAATTTGTCGTGTCAGTGTTAACATGATTTGTACACGTCAGTGTAAACATCATTTGTACATGTATGTCACTGTTTCAACTTACTTAGGTCGCCATAACTATAATAGGATTTAATATCATTAAACTAACGACATCTTTCTTATTCAATTGTCACATTTGTATTCATTAGACCCAAGCTAGTATGATCAGGTGTATCCTCTAATTGTCATTTTCTTTGTAAAACTATTCTTTGCAGGAATAATAAAACAACAAAGTACTAGTACATCACACTTAATATGTATTATTCCAACTTTGATAATTGCCTTTGCTACGGCCGCACATGTGGTGTTTTCCCATGCTCATATTTGCATTTACTTTGGAAAAAATACAGATTCAATTCCTATATGAAGATATCTTATAGGTGCTTCCTAAACATCTTTTTTTCTTATTCAGAGCAAGAGTTGAAGGGCCTTGGACTGCGTAGAGTTGATCCTGAAAATGTCCCTGGCAAGGGTAGAGAAAAACAGCCCCCACTACAGACCTACTGCAAGACTTGTAGGAAGGAAGTGTTTGATTGTCCATGCATAGACAAGACCAGGTTCAGTAAACCCATTCCTTGTAACTGTTCCTTTTGTAATAAAAAATCCAATGAAAGCAAAGACAAGTCCTCACCCAAGGCCACACCCACCATGGACACACCAACCAAGGAAACACCAACTGTGACAAAGACCACACCCACTAAGGACACACCCAAGGTGACAAAGACCACACCCACTCCTGCCAAGGACACACCCACCCAAAGAAAAACCAAACCCACACCTACCAAGGCAACATCTACTTCAGCCAAGAAGTCCCATACATCTGAGGTAGTTGGTGAATTTACAATTACTGATGTGAAACACGACAAGTACGCACGTCCAGATCCTGTCACCACAGAGGAGCTAGAGCATGGCTTTGACCTTGTGGAGCAACAACTAAAAGAGTCCAGACAGGAAAAAGCAAAGGATGCAAAGAGAAAGGAAGAGGTAAAGAAGAAAGAAGCAGAGGGCAACAAAAAAGAAACAAAGAAGACATCACTTGGTAAGAGGGCTTCTGATTCTGCGGTCCCTCCTAAATCGGCCACGCCGAAGGCACATCAGTTCTCAAGTGTCCCAACAAGGTTGGAGGTGCCACTGCACCAGATTTTAAAGGGTAACATGGAGGGGGTGTTCAAGTTCACCGCTGTACATAACCAGAGCACTGGACCTGCCACCGCTAATCCTCTTAACTTCATTGTAGAAAATGTCACACCTCCGTATCCAGGTGATGCAGATCCTGGAAATGGGAAGAAAAAGGAAGACACTCCAAAGATGACAGAGGAAGAGAAGATTGCAAAGAGAAAACAGATAGAGGATAACATTGCAGAAGTGAGAAGAAAAGAAAAAGCAGAGGAGTTGAAGAAACAGCAGAAGCTTGCAGAAATAAGGAAACAGGAGAGAAAGGTTGCAGAGTCTAAAAAGTTTCCCAAAATAGAGGGTATGGAGGAGCCTAATGATCTTTTGACTAACTTCAAGTTTAAACCAAAGGAGGAGTTTGCAGAAGATCATGTCAAAGTGACAAACTCCGAGGTCAAGGACACTGACACTGCTGATAATCCAGTCGACAGGTTAATTAAAGCCACAATGAAAGAATGTGAGGAGAAATGTGCAGAAAAATTGAGGGAAATGGATGAAATAGGTAAGCAGTTATTCCGCGACCGTCTAGAAAGTCAGGTTGGTGCGGAAGATGCCAAGGCTATGCTCAACCTGAGGCGATGTACCAACTGCCAGAAGATGGAACCAAGTCCCAAAATCTACAAAAAATGTCTCAAGTAAGTCAAAATTGTCAAATTGACACCATATTTTGACTAGAGTTGGAAAAAATACGGCAAGTGTGCGTTGCATTATATTGTGAGATAGAAATGTGGTACACTGTGTTCTCACACACTATTTGCTTTTGTATTAACTGAGATAAAGTGATTAAATGTTGAAATAAGTAATGATACGAGTAGAGAGTCCCAGTGCTGTGGTTTACTGCCAACAAATAAGAGCTCCAATGTTTTGGGCATTTCCGATCCAGAGGTTTTTGCCCATTTACTCCGGGAAAGAGTTACACACCATAGAGATTATGAACATTTCCATTTTTTGACTTTTTTCAAAAAATGTCTTCACCATTGGGGAGGATTTGATCCTCATACCTCTTTATTAGAAAGCAAGAATCCTCTGTACTACAGGTCAAGCTTCTGTAAAACAGGATTGTTTTCCGGTTTAGAAATGTCCTTGTATTTTGCATTGAATAAATTCGCAAGAAGATATATATATGGGAATATCTATTTGAAGATTATAGATATATAAATTTCAAAATCATTGCCAAAGGGAAAATTGCCACAGTGCGATTCACCTTAGGAATCATATCAAGAACATTTCTGCATACAAGTGTTTCCACTATCACAGTACTTGTTACGTTGTTACTTTTTGGCACGCTTATGGGGCTATTTTTCAAAACTCCCTAAAAAGGCCTACAACATATGTACAGCTGTCTTTATATATGGATATAGAGGAAATAACATAAATTGTCATGGCCCGTTTACAGTAGAAAAGTGGTGGGTCTCTACCTTAGGGTAAAGGATACTACCAACAAGTTAAACTCTATTATCACCAGTGTATTTGTTAAAGACCTTTTCAAATGAAATATTTCTTCATGTGTGCACCTGACAGAATTGCAGTTGTTTAGAAAATTGAATGTTTGAAAATAAAACAAGAAAACAGAAGGGGTCGAAACAGGAACCCTTCCGGCACAAAGCTTACACTTTTATCAATGTTGCCATACAGAAATCATACCAGCAGAGAATACTACAAGTCTGATCTTCGTGATAAAATAAAAATGATACAGTGACACCCTTTACCTTATGGCTATTTAATAACCAATTTTTTGTCCTTTGAATATATTTAGAAAATAGTTTTAGAAGAAAGTTCCCAGATAACATATAGAATATTATTATTCAGTGTTTAGCTGATCAGAATATTAAAAACGATCCTGTTTGACCACATTTGTATCACTTGAGACCAGTGCAGGTTCAACAATCTCCTTTACAAAGAAATGCTAGAATCAATTACTGTTTATATGGGGTTCATCATCCCCTTCTGTGGAGGGAGTACATTTTACTAAAGTTTCTAAAGAACCAAAAGGCACAGCCTGCTTACATTAGGGTTGCTGCAAATTCTGCGAGCAGAAAGTCACTTCGACCTGTTAACAAGATCACAGGGAGCAAAATTTGCTTCTTTTTTGGTCAGTAGCATGTTGTCTTGGAGTGCTACAATTTTGCAAAAATGAATTACCTTGACCGAAATTTAGATTCATGGGTTATGAGATCAGTCCCCCATTAAATACATGTATATTCTGGCTTTGTAAATGTGACTTTTGCTGTTTAAAAAACTTGAAATATTGCTGATATTGGGGAAGGTGTTGGGAGGGGGGATGTCAGAGGAGTGCCAGATAGTCGTATGGTGTAGGGTGGTGCATTGGATAGCACACTTGCCTTTCACCAAGGCGGCTGGGGTTCGATTCCCCAATCGGACGAGAAAAGGTATGGGGTCACCTGTCCGACCACGTGGGTTTTCTCTGGGTACTCCGGTTTCCTCCCACACGAGGAGCCCCCCGCGCGCTAACATCCAGGTCAACAAGAGTGATTAATATAAGTTGAAAATAATTAATTCATAATTGTTGTAAAATAAATAAAATGTATATATAGTCATATGGTGGGGGATGGTAAGAATTATCATGGCAAAATTTTGAACCACTGGTTTAAATTATCATATAAGCAAACAGTGTTCTAATAAATCAGTGCTGGAAGTATTATGTTGATATTTAGGACAACATATGTAGTATTAAAATTGAAGTGCAATAATTTGGTGTCATCACATAATTCTAATTTTGTCTTCTTGCAGGTGTAAGGAAAAGAAAGTGAAGAATGCCAGGTACTACTGTGGCAGAGACTGCCAGGGTAAGTCCATAAGTACAACTACACACCTATAGATAAGGCATGGATTGACAGGTTTTACATCAGCTTCACTACCGAGAGTAGTTTGGTTATCCAGGTTTTACATCAGCTTCACTACCGAGTAGGTCGGTTATCCAGGTTTTACATCGGCTTCACTACCGAGTAGTTTGGTTATCCAGGTTTTACATCAGCTTCACTACCGAGGAGTTTGGTTATGCAGGTTTTACATCAGCTTCACTACCGAGGAGTTCGGTTATCCAGGTTTTACATCAGCTTCACTACCGAGAAGTTCGGATATCCAAGATTTACATCAGCTTCACTACCGAGTAGTTCGGTTATTCAGGTTTTACATCAGCTTCACTACCGAGTAGTTTGGGTATCCAGGTTTTACATCAGCTTCACTACCGAGTAGTTCAGTTATCCAGGTTTTACATCAGCTTCACTACCGAGTAGGTTGGTTATCCAGGTTTTACATCAGCTTCACTACCCAGTAGTTCGGTTATCCGGGTTTTACATCAGCTTCACTACCGAGTAGTTAGGTTATCCAGATTTTACATCAGCTTCACTCCCGAGTAGTTCAGTTATCCAGGTTTTACATCAGCTTCACTACCGAGGAGTTTGGTTATGCAGGTTTTACATCAGCTTCACTACCGAGGAGTTTGGTTATGCAGGTTTTACATCAGCTTCACTACCGAGTAGGTTGGTTATCCAGGTTTTACATCAGCTTCACTACCCAGTAGTTCGGTTATCCGGGTTTTACATCAGCTTCACTACCGAGTAGTTAGGTTATCCAGATTTTACAGCAGCTTCACTACCGAGTAGTTTGGTTATCCAGGTTATACATCAGCTTCACTACCGAGTAGTTCGGTTATTCAGGTTTTACATCAGCCTCACTACCGAGTAGTTCGGTTATCCAGGTTTTACATCAGCTTCAGTACCGAGTAGTTTGGTTATCCAGGTTTTACATCAGCTTTACTACCGAGTAGTTAGGTTATCCAGGTTTTACATCAGCTTCACTACCGAGGAGTTTGGTTATGCAGGTTTTACATCAGCTTCACTACCGAGTAGGTCTGTTATCCAGGTTTTACATCGGCTTCACTACCGAGTAGTTCGGTTATCCAGGTTTTACATCAGCTTCAGTACCGAGTAGTTTGGTTATCCAGGTTTTACATCGGCTTCACTACCGAGTAGTTTGGTTATCCAGGTTATACATCAGCTTCACTACCGAGTAGTTCGGTTATTCAGGTTTTACATCAGCTTCACTACCGAGTAGTTAGGTTATCCAGGTTTTACATCAGCCTCACTACCGAGTAGTTTGGATATCCAGGTTTTACATCAGCTTCACTACCGAGTAGGTTGGTTATCCAGGTTTTACATCAGCTTCACTACCCAGTAGTTCGGTTATCCGGGTTTTACATCAGCTTCACTACCGAGTAGTTAGGATATCCAGATTTTACATCAGCTTCACTACCGAGTAGTGCAGTTATCCAGATTTTACATCAGCTTCACTACCGCGTAGTTTGGTTATCCAGGTTTTACATCAGCTTCATTACCGAGTAGTTCGGTTATCCAGGTTTTCCATCAGCCTCACTACCGAGTAGTTTGGTTATCCAGGTTTTACATCGGCTTCACTACCGAGTAGTTTGGTTATCCAGGTTTTACATCGGCTTCACTACCGAGTAGTTCGGTTATCCAGGTTTTACATCAGCTTCAGTACCGAGTAGTTTGGTTATCCAGGTTTTCCATCAGCTTCACTACCGAGTAGTTTGGTTATGCAGGTTTTACATCAGCTTCACTACCGAGTAGTTCCGTTATCCAGGTTTTACATCAGCTTCACTACCGAGAAGTTCGGATATCCAAGATTTACATCAGCTTCACTACCGAGTAGTTCGGTTATTCAGGTTTTACATCAGCCTCACTACCGAGTAGTTCGGTTATCCAGGTTTTACAACAGCTTCACTACCGAGTAGTTCGGTTATCCAGGATTTACATCAGCTTCACTACCGAGTAGTTTGGTTATCATCAGCTTCACTACCGAGTAGTTTGGTTATCCAGGTTATACATCAGCTTCACTACCGAGTAGTTCGGTTATTCAGGTTTTACATCAGCTTCACTACCGAGTAGTTTGGTTATGCAGGTTTTACATCAGCTTCACTACCGAGGAGTTTGGTTATGCAGGTTTTACATCAGCTTCACTACCGAGTAGGTTGGTTATCCAGGTTTTACATCAGCTTCACTACCGCGTAGTTTGGTTATCCAGGTTTTACATCAGCTTCATTACCGAGTAGTTCGGTTATCCAGGTTTTACATCATCTTCACTACCGAGTAGTTAGGTTATCCAGGAGCTTCACTACCGAGTAGTTTGGTTATCCAGGTTTTACATCAGCCTCACTACCGAGTAGTTTGGATATCCAGGTTTTACATCAGCTTCACTACCGAGTAGTTAGGTTATCCAGATTTTACATCAGCTTCACTACCGAGTAGTTCAGTTATCCAGATTTTACATCAGCTTCACTACCGAGTAGTTTGGTTATCCAGGTTTTACATCAACTTCACTACCGAGTAGTTAGGTTATCCAGGTTTTGCATCAGCTTCACTACCGAGTAGTTAGGTTATCGAGATTTTACATCAGCTTCACTACCGAGTAGTTAGGTTATCCGGGTTTTACATCAGCTTCACTACCGAGTAGTTAGGTTATCCGGGTTTTACATCAGCTTCACTACCGAGTAGTTTGGTTTTCCAGGTTTTACATCAGCTTCACTACCGAATAGTTAGGTTATCCAGGTTTTACATCAGCCTCACTACCGAGTAGTTTGGTTATCCAGGTTTTACATCAACTTCACTACCGAGTAGTTAGGTTATCCAGGTTTTGCATCAGCTTCACTACCGAGTAGTTAGGTTATCCGGGTTTTACATCAGCTTCACTACCGAGTAGTTAGGTTATACAGATTTTACATCAGCTTCACTACCGAGTAGTTAGGTTATCGAGATTTTACATCAGCTTCACTACCGAGTAGTTAGGTTATCGAGATTTTACATCAGCTTCACTACCGAGTAGTTCGGTGATCCAGGTTTTACATCAGCTGCACTACCGAGTAGTTAGGTTATCCAGGTTTTGCATCAGCTTCACTACCGAGTAGTTAGGTTATCGAGATTTTACATCAGCTTCACTACCGAGTAGTTGGGTTATCCAGGTTTTGCATCAGCTTCACTACCGAGTAGTTCGGTTATCCAGGTTTTACATCAGCTTTACTACCGAGTAGTTAGGTTATCCAGGTTTTACATTAGCTTCCCTACCGAGTAGTTTCGGTTTCCAGGTTTTACATCAGCTTCACTACCGAGTAGTTCGGTGATCCAGGTTTTACATCAGCTTCACTACCGCGTAGGTAGGTTATCCAGGCTTTACATCAGCTTCACTACCGAGTAGTTTGGTTTTCCAGGTTTTACATCAGCTTCACTACCGAGTAGTTCGGTTATCCAGAAGAGGAAGAAAAGATGGGAAAATGAGTAGAAGGAATAAAGTATGGAGTGAAGGAATAGAAAAGGGAGACAGAAGAGAGAATGAGCCATCTGTCCTATATATGTATTTAATATATAAATCTATTTTTTTGTAAGATGGCTTCTAGGCCTAATGTTTGCCTTAAGAGATAAGGCACATCTTCCTGGTATTATATAGGGTCTAGGACTATAGGTGCATCAGGAATGAATCAACATCAGGGTCTACACACAAATATTAGGTCTACACATGTACATGAGTCGTGGGACAAGATATGGATAAACATGAAGTTCATATATATATCAGGTAATTAGGGCAGGAGAGATATACACAAATTACACTATGTTAAGATTTCATTTGAGTTTAGTTTATAATATCATTTATAATAGGTTTCAAGTGTATAGAGGTATCATAATGTGTACTGACAAGGATTACTGGAGAAGGTGTTAATATGCATGGTCCTTGGGGAAAGTTGTATATAATTGTGTTGAAATTGACATTTTGTTATGATCCCTTTGCAGCCAATGACTGGACCCGAAGACACAAGAGGGAGCACAAAGATAATCTTCTAAATTGAGGAAGGATATTTTCCTGTCGTAGATGAACAGAATTCCTCAATACGACTAAACTCAGAGACACAATTTAAGAAGGAAACTGTCTGGTTTGAAAAGGGTTACCCCTACTTCCTGTCAGATATAAGGAGAATTTTCAGCATGCGTTTCATCCAGACAGAGTGATCATTACAGCACTAGTACAGACAAATTCCACTTTGTTGACTAGCATTGTTTCATGTTTGTTAATTGTCCCTATTAACCCTTTTACCCCTATGTAACTTGAGTAGACATTATCATGCATTGATATAGATGAGTCCATTATGGTCCCCAGTTATGAAAGGGTGAAGACTGTTTATAACAGCTCTCGATCTTCTCATAAGATTATGTTGATGATTAGATATGTAATGTTCATGAATTATTGATTGTTTTAATAATGACTATTTGAGAACATATGTTTAGTATATATGTTGTTGATTGATGCGTGTGAAATCTCCATGATTTAATCTGTTTTGCATAGCGTAGCTGACACAGAAACTTTAAGACACAATGCCAATTTCAGAATGATTATTTGAGACAGGTTGAACACTTTTTTGATTAATTTGTAATTATCATGATATTCACTTTTATGCTTGTGCTTTAAATCGGTCCAATATTTGCCTTTTGCTGTGAAATCTGTATTTACCCAGTGTTAATTTTGCTTAACATATACTTACGAAATATATAATATGCCATGTACTAATATTAGCTCTAGTGATAAATTCACTATCTGATGGAGGGCAAATATAGCAGAAGTTGATAAACTGTATATGCCATGTACTAATATAAGCTCTAGTGATAAATTCACTATCTGATGGAGGGCAAATATAGCAGAAGTTGATAAACTGTATATGCCATTTACTAATATTAGCTCTAGTGATCAATTCACTATCTGATGGAGGGCAAATATAGCAGAAGTTGATAAACTGTATATGTCATGTACTTATATTAGCTCTACTGATAAATTCACTATCTGATGGAGGTCAAAAATAGCAGAGGTTAATAAATTAAACTGTGGAAAATATTTCCCGGTATCCAGTACCTTATGTTGTTTGAAATGTACTCTAGTAAATGCTTGTCATATATATGAATACATAAAAAAAAGTCTGTACATAATTTATATTAATCATGCTATGTTTTAATCCCCTACCCATAATCACCATCATTTATGGACAGTCAACCATTAATTAAGCACAGATTGTCTGCCTTCCATATTTTACAAAGAAAAGGAAAACTTTTAATATACATACATGTATATGTATTACAGATTTATATTAATCATGCTATGTTTTAATCCCCTACACATAATCACCATCATTTATGGACAGTCGACCATTATTTAAGCATTACAGATTTGTAGTACACTACTTAAATGTTATGTATTGTGCTTTTCCTGAGAACAGGAAAGTTCATACTTTTATATGCCACCAATGTATTATATTTATTTTTCTTTAATATCAGTTCTTTGTCATCAGGATTGTAACATGTATTTTGAGGGTATAGTCTTGTTTTAAGATATTTTATATTGAGTTATATTCAAATGGTCCAGAAACAATTTTGTTAGCTTACAAATCTGCTCTCTATAGAGTGTTTATATTACCCACTGGTATTGGGTATAAGATGAGGCTTTTAGATACTCGTTGGCGTAGAGTAGATTTGTGATGAAGCTTACATATGAAAAACTTTGTTCCTGATAATAAAACACTGCTTTGAACTTGCCCTGTTATATGAATATCATACAACATTAATGTAAACACATGAAAAGAGATGTCAGATTGTTTCTGTTAGATCACATTTGATATCGAAGGCACTGTAGAAGGTACTGTAATTTCCCGAGTACTCCCTGCACCAGGGGAAACCTGAAATTCCACAATGAAGGAATTCAATTGGTATGTACAAAATTGTATGTACTTGTGTAATGATCATTGTGTGGTTGCACTAAAACCCATGTGTACCTGTGGTTTTGTTTGCACACATATGGCACTCAAGTTAAAACAGGGAAAAATGATAATACATAACCTGCATATTTTTGACTCATTTATTTAAAAATCAGATAGCCGTCAGGTAGGTCACAAAGGCATTTTCAGTTGTATCCCACAGGATATAGGCAGGAAGTTATGATATGCTCACATAAAACATTGTAATTTTTGTCTGTCACACTTACCACAGAATGAAAAGGAAAAACATACATGTATTGTCCTTTATGCTTGTCCGTGTATCTAAATGGGTGTCCAGACAATACCTTATAATATGAACATAATTGAATCAATCTTGGGGGAAAAAAGTTATGTAAGTCTTAATAAAGCTACGCACACTTTCTCATTTCTAAATGACTAGAATTTAAAAAAAGAATTTGATAAAAAGATATCTTCATTTTGTCACGGACTTGGATACTCTAATCTAATTCCGTGGTTTTGTTTTAGAATTTTTGGGTGGGAAGCTGGCCTCTGCTAAAGTGAATGTGACTTAATTGGATCATGAGAATTTGTCATTTATGATTACTATATTGCGATGATGCTTCTTTTCTTGATACAGAAATATAACTTTATTTTTAAATGAAAATGTAGAAAAACCGCTGTGACATAGCATCATAACTGGGAAAGCATCATAACTGGGCAGTTTTCCTGCTACAAATGTGAAAATCACAAGTTTTACTCGCTTCTCTGTGGTTTAATTTACCGGTATTATCCATGAATTATGGTTAACACCTGAAAGCAGAAACCTCTCTTTATCAAGTGTTCGTTTAGAAGTTAAGTGTATCTGACATGTTTTGATAGGGGATTCAGGTGTTTAATACAGGAATTTGGTACAACTCATATATAGTTGCTGGCTTTTTGGGTTTCATACATAATTGTTCAGTTCAAATTCATGAACAGCCTTCGTTATATATCCTTTAAGAACCCGTGTAATTATAGCTCAGAAATTATAGTGTCACAAACGCATTACTTTGTTTATCTGTATATGTGTGCTGTTAATTGGCTGTTAAGGATTTTTGAGAACTGACTAATTGGGGTTATCAAAATATCTGTCAATAGTAAGCTAATAGTAAGCACTTGCTATCTTATCAAGAATGGCTTTCTTGCATTTATTTCAAAATACAGCTTGTTTTACAGAATTACGAACATTTTATCTAAAAAGCATATCACATATTTACGTGTTTTATATATTTATTTGTAGGGAAACCGATACTTTTTTTGTATATATTTGATCAAAAAATGAAATTTACAACAAAAGTAAAGCAATTTAAAGTGGCTTTCTTGCATTTATTTCAAAATACAGCTTGTTTTACAGAATTACAAACATTTTATCTAAATAGCATATCACATATTTGCGTGCTTTTTTTATATGTATTTATTTGTCGGGAATTGCGATTGTTTTTCCAGGATTAATCTTGTTTCAGTGAATATGATCAGACTTTTCATTATTGTTGTCCGCTTCAGTTACTGGTGGTCTCCTTACTCATTTCTAGAAAAGCACCAAACATGGAAAATATCACCAGGAAAACGTCAGTGCTAGAGGGAAACATGTTATATTTCCTCGGTTGTCAACATAATCCAACCAGATATGCTGAGGTATAAATGAGGTATAACAATGAAATGTATGCAAGAAGCAAGCATGTATGTATGTATAAACATATTGTCAAAAGGATGAGAAAACAAGCATATTGAGCTTTTAATTAAGTTCCAACACATTTTAATTGTGATGTTCAGTCTCAGAATAAGTTTTGAAAACTTTGGAAAACCATTGAAACATCTGACACTATATGAGACCTCGGGGATTATAATATATTTTTTTTTATTTTGGTGGTAACAGTCATGTGTGGATGGATGTCGTTACAAAGTCCAGTAGAGATAGTCTGGGAACAATGATTTCATTGCTGTTGTGTTTCAAGGCAATTTTAGACAGCAATTACCTTTAAGTGTAAATCCACAATGTTCAAGGGATAACGGTCAAGTTGATAATGACCAGTTAAATATCATGGATTTCCACAGGTTAGAGATTCCTTATTTGCCCTAATTTGTATTGTTTGAGATTTTTTTTTTAATTTCATCTTTTTCTTACAAATTCTTAATTGAAGCCAACAGGAACAGCAATATGACTCTTAAACTCTTCCATGTTGTTGATCGACACACTAGTAATTGTTGCCATATGATTTTATGACCATAGCTGTAGGTAAATGCAGAATCTTATTTAAGTTTTACTTTCTACACAAACAATGTACCTATTAAACGTGTCGCAACATTTCAAGACCGTCTGGTCCCTTTGTCAAGCTTTGACTGATCGCATATTTCCAAACTGATGAATCTTATTGGAGATATCAGAATGACCTTGCACATTTATTTTCCTGTAGAATTGACCTTTACATCTATTATCTATTACTCCTATGTATAGTGGTTGATAAAATGTATTATTGTACATGCATGTAGGATGTAGAATTTTTTAATTTCATCATAAATTGTATGAGAATCGCACGTTGATAGCAGCGAGCCAGTCCCAGGCACCAGAACTATTATTCAGCATTGGTGTTAAATCCAAATAGTGAAATAATACATATATATATTACTGTAGTACTGAAAAGTTGATCACCCAACAGGTGCCTGATAAAACCTGACGTCAACACGTAGGTACGGTCCGTACTCCAAACATTGTTAATTGTATGTCCAAATTATTTGTCAGCTTTTATGCAATCATGAAAATAAATGCAAAAATGTTAAGACTTGTTTATCTTATCTTTATGTAATTTAGTATAGGTGACAATTTTTTTCTCCGATTCGAATACAAGAGATTGTTTTGCTCTCGGATAGACCGAGGCATTTTCGACTGAAAATGTCAAAACTTGGTACAATAATCCACTCATTGTATAGACCAAGTACTAACTGTTTTGACAATATAGACCAAGTACTAAGTGTTTTGACAATATAAACCAAGTACTAACTGTTTTGACAATATAGACCAAGTACTAACTGTTTTGACAATATTGAACCTCTTTCTCCTTTCCACGATGCATATGACTGGTTTTGACCAAACTGAAATATTTGTTGACCGTCTAGCTATCCATAACCAGGGGTTATAGAGGTTTGACACATCTCTGAAATTTCATAATGAACTATTCCAGCCTTTGATTTGGAAGAGCTCAAATGCGTTTTCAGGGGTGAATGAGTTAACTCCCAAACTGGGGGAGACTGGACTGCAACAAGACAATCCCCACATTTAACCATCCCAACGGAAATGACTTCACCGCAATACATTACATCCTGTTTTGAATATATGTTTCCCTACGCCTGTTAGCCGCATGGACTACGTAAGATTAAACACCTCAGACAACTACCAAATTAAAGCATGAACGGAAGACCACCCGTTACAAAAGACAAACTGATCTAAAACGAACACTGAATTGTATACTGCATTGCAATGGATACCCGAAGCGTGATGCGACACTCGATATTCGCTTCTGGTTTATGTTTTATGTTTTATTTTGTTTAACGTCCTATTACATGTAACAGCTAAGGTCATTTAAGGACGTGCCTCCATGTGTTTAGTGTATGCGTGCTTGTCTGTGTGTGTGCAATGCAGGAGACGGGGCATGTTGGTGTGCTTGCCTCCTTGTGATAGCGCGGATATGATGCCGACTTTATAGTGCTATCTCACTGAAATGCCATGCCGAAGACACCAATCTCAGCATTCCGCCCGGTCACATTATACTGACAACGGGTGAACCAGTTGTTGCCATTCCCCTTAATGCTGAACGTTAAGCAATAAATAACAACTACCATTGTTAAGGACGTTGGCATGTCCCGGCCTGAGGAGAGAACCCATTGACTTCCTCACATGGGCGAACGCTCAACATTCAAGCCAAAAGTGAGGTTTTGCCAATCTAGGTGCTAGAAAACAAAAGGTAGTTCGAAGTAGAAAAAAATAA